CTCCTCCCTCACCTCTGATTCCTTCCCCCTCTCCTCCTCCTACTCCTGGTCAGGTGTAATCTCTCACTGCAAATCATCTGATGGCGCGACCGACTTGGTCTGGAAAATCTTCTTCATAATTCCTCTTCGGCGGAACAGTCAAGTCTGTTTGGCTTTCTTTGGAAAAATTGCATGAGTCTTTTGGAGGTTTTGTTTTTTGCTAATAATAACAAACAGCAGCAGCAGCAACAACAACAAAAGCAGCAACAAAGCCTCTTCAACTGTTGGCAGCTGTGCTCTTTATGGCCAACAATTTTGGCTGCCTTTATTTTTTGATACCCAGCACTGGCAAAGAGTTTTATACTCATAATATATTTATATATTATATATTTTATATAGCATATAGTATTGGAAAAACAATTATTTATCTACTCCAACATTTTCCTTTGTTTGTTACTAAGTATCTCATAGTCGAGTTAAATTTTGTAGTGCATTTTTTATTCATTTGAGGCCTTCTTTTTCCTTCGTTGGACTAGAAAATTTTTGGGGTAATATTTTATGGCAATTGATGGCCAAAGAAGAGACTTTTGCGTTGAATTTATGTAACGCACTTTCCTCCCGGTGGTCAGTACTCAGTACTCACTACTCAGTACTCATGAGTAGAAGGTGGTGGAGGAGGAAAAGGGGCTCTGCTTGCGCAAAGTTGAAATAAACAATAACAAATTGCGCTTGATTTGCTTTATGATGTTTACACTAGGCCCAGGGCCTCCTCATTTCCCTCTCTCTCTCTGTGTGTGTAAGTACACTCCCTGAGTGGGTGATGGGTGGGTGTGGTGTGTTCGTTGTGTGTGCCTAATTAATTTTTTGTTGGAAAGGAGAGCCAAGAGCCAAGAGCCAAACTAAATAAATACTAAGTGCAAATGAATTTTAAGGCTACCTGGAAATGGTAATGGAAAATGGAAAATGGCCAACTTTTGACGTATTCCAGGCTGACCATTTCACCTAAAAGCAAATTTTAAATTTAGCTATAACATTGGAATATATACCATGTATATTTTCTCGAAAATGTTCTTAAATCTGCCAAATGTTCGTGTTATATGAATGATTTAATAAGTGGACAAAGGTCTTAAATCATACCTCTGAACAGGGGAAACATGAATCAATCGTAATTTCCACCATAAGGCACTAAAAACTATCTTTTCCCTAAAAGTTTACATTAAAATGTAGCTAAAATTATGCCAAAACACACACCTTATTACCATGTAAATTACAATTGTGAATCTGTAAAAGGTGCATAATTAATCGACAAACAAAATTAGTGGCTCCTGATCTTGATTCATGCTGCGTAGTGATTCATCTGTGTCATTAGGAGCTCTCATTTATTCAGTGAAACCCTGACCTGAATCGATCTGGATAAGCCAGCGGGAGTAATGGTCTCTGTTTCCTTTGTCCAAACAGAACTGGGTCGCAGTTGTTACCTCCACCATCTACTCCTCCTTCTGGGCCTGAGAGGAGCTGACGAAAGGCTTCCCCGGAATGGTTTTGATTCAGAGCGAGGGATCCATATCCGTAATTAAATAGAAATGCAAATGGACCGTGGATTCGCCACTATTCGAAAATGAAGCCACTCAAAGAGAAGGCGGGGTGCATATCCTGTATTTTATGTCGTTTCTCTCTGTTGCCTCGTTATAATGAAAATTCATAATCTTTAGCTGGCATTCAAATAACAAAAAGAAGAATACAACCAAATTCTCCCAATGGAAAATGAGTGGAAAATTCAGCCCAGAGCATATGTGTTCCGAATGGGAAATACACGGGGAATGTACCAAATGCACTGATATGGGATGCGTAATGAACTCGTTCACGTTCACGTTCACGTTCACAACTTCCCCTGTCCCCCCGTCCCCCTGCCGGTCTTCCTTCAGCTTTTTCCTGGCTTGGTTATTTTAACAATATCCCGAGAGCAGAAAGTCCCATGTCCCATATCCCATATCCCATATCCTCGGCCACATCCCCCATGGCTGGTATGGTCCACTGTTCGCAGATAGCGAGCCGAACAACTCGCATATTGTTGTCATACTCGTACTTGAATTGCTGGACCCCCACTACCCCACTTTATGGCACAGTGCCACGAAAATCACAGTTTTTTATATATATATTACAGTAGCCAGGGATTAAATTGATCAATAGTAAAGGGAGAAAAAATAAAGGGAAGCCATATGAGTCAATAGATTTCCATATTTTAATGCAGAACCCAAGGTTATGGGAAAGAAATGCATTTAAAATAACTTTTTAAACAATTGATATATGAAATGTAGCCATAAGCATTGTTGCTAGGCAAATGTTGCCAGAAACAAGTTGAGCAACATGAACAAAGGCTAACAACATGAGTAAGACTAGCAACACGAGGAACCTACGCAACTTTGCTGCTGCAACTCTGCTGTTTCAGCAACATAAATGTTGCCTAAGTTAAAGCAGAAACAGTTTACTGCCTTTAATTTATTATTATTAATAGTTTATATGTATTTATCAATTTGTAATAATAAATTATTACAATTTCTTCAAGTTTACTATTATTTTTGTATTATTTCACTGCAATTTATTGGTAATTATTAATGTTAGAGCATACATAAATGTTGCCCAAGTTTCTCAAGCTGAGCAGAAACAGCTTACTACTTTTATTTATTTGTTTTGAATAAATTAAATCTATTCATTACTTTGTAATAATATATTATTACAATTTAATCAATAAATTTTTATTATAAGTTATTTTTTTTTATATATTTTATCAACACCTACACACTGTGCTCTTTGGCACACTCTGTCCTGTTGGACGCCCTGCAGGCAACAATGGACACACCGAATTGTTGCTCGTGTTGCTGTTGTTGCAACTTATTGTTGTCTGTTGCTGTTGTCATAGCTTCAACTGCTGTTGTTGCTGCTGTTGTTGTTGTGACAGTTGTTGTTGTTATCATCCGGATGTGTCACTGTGTGCATATAAATCGCATTTAATTTATTGTAAATCGGATTAAATTACCAAATGTTGCACGCACGCACGAAGCGAACTGTAGAGAGGAGGGGCAGAGTGGGAGTGAGATGTCAAGGGGGAGAGTGAGAGCAAGATGAAGTACAGACCTAGTTAACCCATTAATTACCAATGGCCATAAAGGGCCCCAACGGACTTTGGGGAGCTAAAAAGGGTCAGACGGCAGGAATATATTTTAATTCGTTGAGCTTCGCAGGGTAAATTAAATAATAATAAATACAGGGACTAATAATGAAAGATAGAGTAAGAAAGACAAAATAAGAAAGCTCAGAAAATAGATATATAAATGGATTGAAAATTTATCGATTTCATATCGTTTTTAGCATTTTAAACATTGAAAATCATTGTATTATATTTTTAAATTCTCACCTAACACACTTGCTTTGGGTTTCGGAAGATAAAAGTGCTCAAAAATTAATTTTTATAGATATAATATCAGTTTTTGATACAACAACCTAAAGGAATCTATATTTATTTTTATACTTTTCCAGGGTATTCTAATTTTAATCAGAAGCTTAAAACGCAGTGAAGAAATCATTTTTGACCCTATAAATCATATATATTCTTGATCAGCATTAAAAGCTGAATTGATCTAGGCATATTTGGGAGAAATTAAAATTTTTAAATTTTTTTTCAAATTTTATAAGGGGTTACATCGTTAAAATTTCCAAAAATTTGAAAAAAATTTAAATTTTCGAACAATTTAAATTGATTATGCAGATTTGTTAACCTGTTAAAAACTAACACAAAACAGTTTTCTGAATTAAAATTAATGCATTTTTAACTTAGTAATGGTTACTTTAAAATCTGATTTCTCCATGAAAATGAGTATAACTCCCTAGAATGATTAATATTAATAACTATACATTTATCAATTGTAATATCTATTTTAAAGTAAAAGACCTCAAAAACGATTATATTCTATTATATATTCTTACTAAACTTTGTATTTTGAAACGTAAATTTATTAATAAAGCCCAAAAAACCCTGCAATTGATCGATTTCATATTGATTTTCGCTTATAAAAACCTCGAACTCGAATCAATACAATGTTCCCATTAAATTTATATTCATTTCCCATAACAAAGGGGTTAAGTGTTATGTGTGTGTGTTTTGTTTGTAGCTTGACAAGCACATTTAACTACTGGATACATAACCCACAGCTGTGCCACTTGCCACCACCCACCTGCCAGCCCATCAGCAGCAACACACACAAATGAAATCCTTAAATATGCAACAGCTTTTGGCCAAGAGTCAGCGCGCAAGGACCCATTAAATGTGGCCAAAAGCGGCTTATTAACTAAACAACCCACGGGGAGCAAGACGTTGGTGGGGGAAGAGGAACCACAAAGTCCTTCCCCCTCGTAATACATATACACATGACTTGAATTAAGCACAAGAATGGAATACAAGTGGAAATAAAGGATAAAATCCCTTTCTTTCTCTCTTTTTTTTTTGTTTTTCCAACATTATCTCTTCTGCTTTCCGGTGCACATACTATATGTATATATATTTTTGTGCATATACTTGTATTTATGCCACGGGGGAAAAAAAAGGGAAAGAATACTGGACGATGGGTCCCATTTGCACTCTCATTTGCAATTAACCGTGTGCGGACGGACAATGGATCTGTTAATGCACATTTCCACGGCTCATAAACGGCCAGGAAGGATGAAAATCACGGGTGGTACTGGGTGCTGCCAGCTGCCCAGGGGGGAAAATTCGAAACTTGAAAGACTTTAAGTAAAACTCAAGTGGTCTGCATTCAGCAGATTGGCAATTGGCAGCGATTCTGGTCAGCGATTGTGGTCCGCTTTGAAGTGCCGGGACCCGGGTCCATTAAGCTCTCAGCACGCTCCGAAAAGCTGCCAACATGCAGCATCTGCAACATGTCCCGCAATCTCAGGCGATACTATATAGTTGTATATCCCAGATAATTGCTTATACTCTCCCTCTCTCTCTCTCTCTGTTGCAGCCTGCGAGTGCCATCCGATCGGATCATCTGGCAAGATCTGCAATAGCACCAGCGGTCAATGTCCCTGCAAGGACGGCGTCACCGGACTGACATGCAACCGCTGTGCCCGTGGCTACCAACAGAGTCGCTCCCACATTGCCCCCTGCATCAGTGAGTATAAACTGAATACATATATGTATACACCACAAATATTATACAATAAAGATAATCAATCTCTCTCTCGCTCGTATCTTTCATAGAACAACCGCCGCGCATGATCAACATGCTGGATACCCAGAACACTGCACCGGAGCCGGATGAGCATGAGTCTCCGGCTACCGGTGGCGGAGTCAGTGCCTCCGGAATGGCCGCCCAATCGCAGTATTATCGCACCGAGGGCGGCAGGGGTAAGTAAGTGCTCCTCTCATATCCATATCTATCTGTTGTGTGTGTTTTGTGTGTGTGTTCTAACCATGCATCCTACTCCACATCCTGCCAAACCATCTTTCCACCATCCATCGTCCTGTGGCAACATGTTCTGGTTTTTCAATGATTACAGTAGTTAGTCCCATTGAAAGGATTTACTTAATTACAATTTTAAAATATTTATATTTCTTTTTTTAAGAATATTTTTATTTCCATTTTAATATGTAAAAAAAACCTATTGCAGATACATTTTTATATTGTAATTAATAAGAAGTAGTACGATATCTTTATTATTTTTAATTCAAAATCCAAGTGATATATAGATAGATATTCCGAGTATTTCCCACTCTCCCCCTTAGCGACTCCCCACTGTCCGCATCCTGGAGAGAGAGGAAAGCAAGAACAAAGTCCGATAGCGCCAAGAAGGACGCTCAAAGTTTGCCGCGGCGCTTGGCTCGCCTTTGTAATCCTTTCAAATGGGCGAGAAAACACAAATCCGCTAAAGTGCAGGCGGTTGTCGGTCAGGAAAGGAGGCTGCCCCTCCAGAAGAAGCGGTCTAACAAAAGAGTATCTCAGAGGCAGAAAGAGAGGGTGATATGCTCTGAGACAGAGACAGAGATAGCGACAGGGGGCACTTAACAGACAACGCAAATGTTTGCACGCAACTTTTAGTTACAGTTGCAAAGGAGCTACAGTGGGTCCTCGGAGGAGGGAGGAGGGAGGAGGGAGGAGAGAGTGAGAGAGAGAGAGAGACAGAGAGAGATGCAACAAGCTAACAAAATGCGCCACGCAGCATAAATCATACTAAGCCCGGTTCTATCTCTCCATCTCTTTCACTACTCTCCCTCTCTGTCTCTCTCTCCTTCTAAGGTGGCGCGTGCTTGTGCTAAAAGCAAAACAAACTTTCCACTAAAATGCTAGAAAAAAAATTATAAAAACTAACACTCGAGTTGAGTGTTTCGACCATGAGATACCACCTACTGGTCTGAATGATTAATATCTACATATTTTATATAAGATATGTAAGTTTTACTCAAATGCTATCTTCAATATCCTTTCTTTATTAATAATTATTAAGAGCAAGACTTTAAAATCCTTTAAGAAAACAATGAAGACTATAACACTATTTATTAGAAAATAAATGATAGTTCTATGATATCCTCATGATATCCTAATATATTGATGATATCCTCATGATATCTTTATGATATCTTTACTCAGGATACCTTTATGATTTCTGTATAACTTCTTGGGGATATCTTCAACGTATCATTTTGATATCTTTATGATATCTTCCCTATACTGTCATGATATCTTTATAAAATCAAAATATTTTCTAGATCTTATCTTATCATATACTCGGAAATCCTTCTATCTGAATCCATACCATATTTTTTACTACAATCTTAAGATTTTCCCATTAAAACCCTCCCGATCTACAAGATCCCAGTATACCCTAGAGTCCAACGAAGCTACAGGGTAGATCAGCAACAGCAACAGTGGCAAAAAAAAAACAACAGGGAATGGCCCCCCATAGAAATATATGAAGGAAAAAGAGCCGGCGTGAAAAAGATAGAATGACAGAGAAGAACAGGCAAAACTTGGCAAAAGCAAACGTATTAAAAAGTTTTTTATTTAATTTCCCATGAATAAGCTGCAGAGGCGACCGCCTGCTTTTTTTCGGGCCCACTGTGCCCCAGTACAGTGTGTACTCCTCACACCGCTGCCACTGGCGCTAATTGCTCTCGACTATTTGCCTAAGGCATTAGGCAAAGTCAGCGCAGGATAACCGACTGGTTATCCCACAGCGGGTTGGGGGAACTGGACGCAAGGACACTCAATGCAGTTACAGATGGAAGTGGAAGGACAATGACAAATTGACTGCGCAGCCACAGGAAGTGTAATCGCCAAAACAATCATAATAGAGTCACAATGTCAGTGTTAAGTGAACAAAATCTAAAACTTAAAGGAAGGTGTCTTCAGTTATTGATTATCGATGCTGTAAGGAATTCATATTTATCATCTTAGGATATTTTTTATACCCTTACAGGGTATTCTTATTTTAATCAGAAGTTTAAAATATAGTGAAATATGCATTTCCGACCCTATAAATCATATATATTCTTGTTCAGCTTTAAAAGCTGAATCAATTTAGGCATCTCCGGGCAGAAAAAAAATTTTAGACATTTTTTTCAAAATTTAATAAGGGGTTACATCGTAAAAATTTTAAAAAAAATTATCAAAAATTTGATTTTTTTGTAATTTTAAATTGAGGATGCAGATTTATTATTTTAATACAAAACTAGCATAGAACAGCTTTCCTAATTGAAATTAATTAATTTTTAGCCGAGTAATGCTATTTTTAAACTTTGATTTTTCTATAAAATAATGATATTTTTTATATGTTAATTATTGGTTAAATCAAAGTTTTTTAAATTTCATAACTAAGCCAAAAATTCTGTAATTTCAATTCGGAAAGCTGCACTATGCTTATTTTTGAGAGGTTAACAAATCTGCATACTTAGTTTGCAAATTTCAAAAAGTTAAAAATTTGATCAATTTTTTGCCAATTTTAACGATGTAACCCCTTAAAAAATTTCAAAATTTTGAAAAAATTAAATTTTATCAGGACATAGCTAGATCAACTCGCCTGTTGATGCTGATCTAGAATATATATGATTTATAGGGTCGGAAATGGCTGCTTCACCGTGTTTTATGCTTTCATCTATAATTAGAGATATAGAGAAAGATATACATAGAGAGAGATGGACACACCAAAAAATAACAGAGAAGAGAGAGAGAGCAAAAACGAAGTTCCCTTTTAAAAGCACCCATAGTCTCCCTTACCCTTTATATCATAGCTCTAAAAAGAAATCCCAACTTGTAGTAAAAGTTCTTTGAAATGCATCAAAAGCCATTAAAATTGCAATATGAATAGCTGTCAGACGCCTGTGGCCTTCTACTACACCTCCTGGGTAACTAACATGGTATCAATTCCCTGCTGCAATTGTTGCACATCAAGTTGGTCCTGCTGCAAGGACCAACTATGCGAGTTCCCTATAGCTATCCGTCATGCCCAAAATGCAAATCCAGATGCTGACTAAGAACTGTGCTTAAAGAGGCAATGTAGGAGGAGACAATGGGGACGGAGTACCCTCTTAAATTTATTTGTCAACGGCAAAGAAAAGCGCAAGTTGGGAAAAGTTGTTGGCGAAAAGTTTTCCATTTCGTGTAACCAAGAACCGAGTTAGGCAAATGGACGACGAGGCACACGGAAAAGTTCGTCCTTTGCAATTCATTGCCACAACAGAGAGCCTCATGAGCGGCGCCGCCCGGCATCAGCAGCAGCATGAATGTTAATTATGAATTTCTAATTTGATAATCTTATTAAATTAATTTAAAATTCTGTTCGAGTTTGAGTTAATTTAAAGTTTAGTTGCCGCTCGTGCCCCACCCCTGCGCGAGGGTCAGTTTTAATGTCATGTTAATTTTGATGACTGTCAAAATTGATGAAAGATTTATGTTTGGCACTCAGTTTACTCAAATGCAAATCAAAGTTTAAATTTCTTAAGTGGGCTTACATTTATATATAGTACTAGCTGTACCCTGCCACGTTTCTCTGTGGCATATTGTGGTTAAGAGGGCACTTCTGAATACATCAATGTTCCGGCAAAATCATCTTCCTGGCATAAGGTGAAGAAGACAGCCAGAGTTGTCGCTGGCGGATTCAGGACTCTTTCTTGCACATTTCTTTCTGTGAAATAGATACGTTGACCATTCTCCAAATGGACTGCCAAGTGAACTAAAGCTGGATAGCGTTCATGAATGGGGAACGAACAAATTCTCCATGCAACCTCGTTGCTGCTTTTGTATCTTCCAGCCTGGTATTGAGATATTTCATCGACAACTCGTACTGCATTGCTGTCCCCATTTTCTGCCTGAACACCAAAAACTGCCATATCGCTGCCTTTATTTACGTACTTGCAGATATATTTAATCGGTTTCACGGAATTGCAATATTCTACGTTGATGTGCGCTTTGTATGATTTTGACAATAGTGTTGAGTATGGAACCACCCAACGATTGTCTACCTCAATATCACCAATTCTCATGTTTAAAGTTGCCGAAGTCCCTCCATCTTCAGTTGACCGTCTCCTATACAGAGGATATCCATCGTCCCCTGTTACGGTGTTGGCTGTAAATGCTCGAGGATATCGCTTGGAACACTTCCCGTCTACCATGCATGGTGAACTTCGGTTGAGGGTACCACATGGGCCATGGATCATGTTCTTGATGACAACTGCATGCAAATCTGTATCAACCTCTGCCCGTGGAATCTCAGCGCATATCACATTGTCAATTTCGTCTGGAGTAATTTTATCATACAGCCAAATCAGTATGTGCGCATGCGGCAATCCTCTCTTCTGCCATTCTACTGAATACATCCAGCACAGCTCAGATCCCAAAACTCCATGTTTCACAATGAAATCCATCAGTGACTTGAGCTTTTGTCTAAAAACACGGGCTGTGATGTCATGCCTATCCCTATATGATTGTCCAGGAAATAACAGCTGAACTATCTCGTCCCAAGCTGGATTGCATGTGAAGGTGATAAATAAGTCTGGACGGCCGTAGCAACGAACATATGCCTGGGCATCTTGAGCATATTCCTGCATGTGGCGTGAACTACCTATGTATGAGGATGGCAAAATCGTGAGCTTTCCAACGTTGGTTGTATTACGGTCATTCATCACAGCATCCCGCAAATGGATATATTCCTCGGACCGAAGTTTCTTCTGATTCAATCGGAGGAACAGCTAACGTTGTTTCAATTTTTGCATACATATCGACAATGTACTGATGAAACAACTGACGACATTTCAATATATGATTGCAATCGGTCCTCCGAACCATTAACCTGTATGAGTAAAAGTTCATCGCGCAGCCGCGTCTCTCGGATGGAGGCCCGTTCTTCGTCAGTCATATTCGCAATCTTACGTCTTTTTGCTTCTGTATTGCGAATACGACGACCCAATCTCGACTTCTTTGGTGGCATGACTTCGTTTCTTACTGAACCTGAACAAAAAATAAAATTTGTATCTCCAATTTCTTCTTTCAATATGTTTTTAATGTTTGACAGGAAATGCTTTGATTTGCTTGTAGAGGGCGCAGTAGTAGGGGCACGGGGAAACGCTAAAAATTAGATATATTCGCAACCGCAGATAAGCTATCAACATCAAAAGTAGTCAATAACCGAGCTGGAACCTCAACGCATCTTCTCTAAAAATTTGGGCATAAACGGTTCAGAACTTTTCAAGTTTCTTCTTTCAATATGTTTTGAATGTTGGACAGGAAATGCTTTGATTCAGCTGGCTGCCTGTAGATGGCGCAGCAGTAGGGGCACTTGGAAACGCTAAAAAAATAGATATATTCGCCACCGCAGATAAGCTATCAACATCAAAAGTAGTCAATAACCGAGCTGGAACCTCAACGCATGTTGTGTAAAAATTTGGGCTTAAACGGTTCAGAACTTTTCGAGTCTATGAAGGATGTAGACACGAACAGAGCATTTTTATATATATAGATATAGAAATATAAATCGCCTGAAACTATGACCTATATAAGTAATTTCAATTAACTTAAAACACAGGGATTCCCAGGCCATGACTCATACACATTTTTCAGGAAACTTAGAGCTTTATTTTTGTTCCTCATTCGGGGCGTGGTTAATGATCTTTAAATGACAGCGATAAATATCGAATGTTCACTAAGTGAATGGGGCATCAGTCAGGTGAGGAAAATGCTCTATAAATAGTATTTTTCATTTACGATTTTTTCTTTAATCAATTTATCCATTCGATTTAATTTATAAATGTTTATGCCTTCAATTGTGTCACGTTTCCTTTGACATTGTGATCGCAAAACAACAATGCAAATTGCCATTCGCAGCCAAAAGAAAAACATACGAAAATGTAAAAAATAAAAAAAAAGGTAGAGAGAAAATAAAACATTGCAAAAATACAGAGATTTCTTGGCTAATTTTAGTTGGCACAAAAGACGATCCAAGGCACGAAGGCAATATACACAGAGAGGAACCAGTATGGGGTTTTAGCCTTAGAAATTAAAGGATTGTTTACCATAATGCCAGAGTTTGTTGCTTAAACTAACACTTATTAAAGCAACTAAATAAAGTATAATATAGTATAGAAAAGATTATATTCTATAATAATACTTTTTTCAAATTAAACAGTAGTTATTTTACTTGTTTTAAAAATACCCTCTTCTATTTATTAAAGAAGCTGAAATAGCATTAATTTCTTTCAGTGCAGAGGGAAAAATCAAAAGAGTAGGGGGGTATTTTGTTTCCCTTAATGCAAAATTGATCGAGCATTGCTGCTGTTTCTGGCGCTGTTTCTGCTAATTGGCATTGGCCATAAAGACATAAATATTGCAATTAAATTGTGAACACAAGAGTGGAATGCCCCAGTCCAAGGACAAGGGCAAACAGGGTATAGGGAACAGGGAATCAGGAATAGGGAACAATAAGAATCCCTCAATCCCTCCCCAGTCCAATTAACTTTATATTCTTATCCCAAAAACTATATATCAAATCCCTACTCTAAACTACCAGCTCATCATCTCATTTATGATATAATACAAGGAAGTACTAACTTAACTAATCTGAATACATATCCTTTCTTTATCCTTTACAGAATGCGGCAAATGCAAAGTAAGCACCAAAAGGTTAAACCTAAACAAGTTTTGCAAAAGAGACTACGGTAAATATTATTAAAATCCTATTAATATATAATAGATAATTTAATATATAATTCAATTGATAAATTTCTAATATGATAGCAATAATGGCCAAAGTAATTGGTCGCGATACGAGCAGCGAGGCAGCCAGCAGGGAGGCCCATCGTCGCGCAATGGATCCCGACGTGGCAATGGACTACGAAATGGATCAGGAGCAGCCGGGGCTCGTCCAGAGTCCGGCGGAGTACGAGTTCCAATCGACAGATCCCAGTTATCCCAGCAGCGGCAACGAAATGGCTCGCTACGATCTGCAGATTCAGGCCGTCTTCAAGAGAAGCAGGCCAGGAAGCAGCAGCAGCGGAAGCGGAGCGGCGGGGAGCGGAATCAGGAGCGGAATCGTGAGCAGGAGCAGCGTATATGGAATGCCGAATACAATGCTAAAACGCGGTCCTATGACCTGGATCATACCGACTAAGGACCTAGAGTGCCGCTGCCCCAAGATCAGAGTTAACAGGTGAGTTCCTTGGGTTCTCACTTCCCACAAACTAGTACTATATACACCATATTATACTCTACAGATCCTATTTGATCCTGGGACGTGATTCGGAGGCGCCACCGGGTTACCTGGGCATTGGGCCGCATTCAATAGTTATCGAATGGAAGGAGGATTGGTATCGGCGAATGAAGCGCCTTCAGCGTAGGGCACGCACTTGTGCGTAATCCCCTAGAGAATTAATCAACACAGACTAGACTCTAGGCCTAAGGATTTAATGGAGGATTGTAGTGGGCGCAGGGCACAGTGGGCCATATCATTAATTTAATTGTCGTTTATTTTTTTTTTGTACTCGCCCTTTGAACTAACCGATTTTGTAGCAGCCTAAGATCAAACTAGTGGTATTTAATTTATTTAATTAACTTTAATTGTTACAGAATCAATCGAAGCAATCACTCACACAAACACACGAAAGTATCTATATATGTAATCTATGTAATATCGATATATATAAATATACGAATTGTATTATTCGCTAAGATTAAGACTCCCGTCAGCCCAGTTTAAGAAAGAAACTTAACGAAGACTAAGCAAGTAAATAAGATGCATAAAGCCAGGCAAATCAGAGAGCTCTATCTCTAGTGACAGCGTTACGCTTCTTATTCATCTGCATTGTCTTTGAACTTATGTACTAGAACCAGCCTCGAGCAATAATTTAATTTTAAGAGAAAAACACACTTAAAGCATGCATCACTCGCAAAAATCGTAATAAATAGATATTGTACAGAGCATAAGCCCGTTTTCAATTTGATTTCAATAATGAACAAAAAACATCCGATTCAAGATGGTATTTTATTGTGAACTTGTGCCATAAAAATCCTGTAAAATTTGGGTATTAAAAAATATTGACCTGCCCTATCCTTATCCTGCAGCTATAATTTTGATTTTGTTGGAAAACTCTTCAGCTAATTTGGCTCCAGTCCAACGTCAGACTCGCCGAAGCCGCAACTCTTTGTTGGATCTGGTAAGCCATTGGGTTTATCCAGCTCCGTAGGTGGATCATCAGACGAAGTGCCATCGTAATCCACAGATAGAATCTTGTTCTGAACATGAACCTTATTTAGGAATGACTTCGGATCAACGATCAGGGTGTTAATTGCCGTGTCAATTGGAATCTCAACCGTCTCCTTCAACTTTTTCTTGATCAATTCTTTGGCTGCTATTTTCCTTTTCTGTCTGGCAGCATTCTGCAGACCCATCAACTGTATCCACTCTGCCTTGAGAACGTCCAAACGCTTCTGCTCGTCCTGCATGAGTCTGAATCCAACAGGATTTGGCTGTCTAGAAGGTTTGAAAGTTTGAATAGATTGCTTGGTCTTTGTGCGGGGATTCCTCTTGTGCAAGAATCTAAATTTGAGCTGCGCTATCCTCATGCGGTAGGCATCGCGAACAGGTGTATTGCCATCATGATTGTGATTATCCGAGGATCTGGAACTCACTGAACGCTTTGCGTTATATTCCAGTTTCGATTGAAGCCTCGAGAACTTCACATCCATGCCAAGGTGCTTCTTTTGACTCAGGCCTATGGCCTTCGTTGGCAGTCCCTTCACCGGCTTATTCTTTCCTTTACATTTTTGTGAACATTTTGCAACCAGATTCTTTTTTCTCCTTCGTTGCAGAGGCGTGAGCTTCGATTCACGCAAAATTTTCTCAATATTTTTGGTCACAACCAAATCTCGAATATCCTCCCAGCCCATCCTGCGATGACTCGAATGCGGAGTTTCTTGCTTCCGCATTGCGACCATCTTTATCGGAATGGTTTTGGAGTGGAGGCTACCCGACTGCGTTGCTAGATTCTTTGAAAGCTGCACATCCTTCCGCCGCTTAGGGGAGGCCATGGATAAGTTACGCTTTTGTTTATTCGAGCTATTGAGATTCCTTATTACAGGATGAATTCTCACAGCAGTAGCTAGGTTAAAAGAGGGATTTTTGCATTCGAAAACTGCTAAAAAATAAAATTTTCTACCAACCAGTTGGACATTTGTGGAACCTGGCAGGACGAAGTGTCGTTGAATGGGCCTGTTCCGGGAATGCCTGCACTTTTCGTGAACATCTAATGTCCAAGGTGCTGCTAATCTGATGACTATCGTCTGTCGGAGAAAGATTAATCTAAGATCTATACGAAACGCGGTAAATACAAAATAAATCTACCCATGTGTCGATATTTTCTGGTGGGAGTGCACGAATTGAGAAGTTTTTTAAACCAATTCACTCGAAATGTGTTCGCCATGGCTGCTACCGGTTAGATTTTTTTTGAAAGTCCAGATAAGGCGGGAAAGAAACAATAAATTTTGAGGCCAAATTTAATACATAATTTTGAAGTCCGAACAGAACGAATCGACACTGAACAATGACCCATACAGCTGAGTTTTACCAATGAGCTTGATGGGAAATGCAAAGGCTTACTAGGTTGAATCGATTTTCTTTTACCTAAAATTGAGATATACTTTTAATATACTTTTGTATGATTTCCTTAAGGAGACTTCTATAAAGGACACCTTTTGAACCTGTTTGATTTTGTGGAGTGATCCCTCTATTTCTGATTTCCTCTTTTGCAAGTAGTAATAACGAAAATTTGGTCTTACTTTGAGACGTTGAAAATCTATGAAATGTTAAGAAGTGAACGACCTATTCTCTCTTAAGGATACTTGCTATAAATGACACTTTTTGGACATATTCGTCTTGTTGGTTCCCACTCTCCCTCACTCAAAATGAGATATACTTTTAATATACTTTTGTAACATTTCCTTAAGGATAGCTTTATAAAGGACACCTTTTGAACCTGTTTGATTTTCTGGAGTGATCCCTCTATTTCTGATTCCCTCTTTTGCAAGTAGTAATAGCGAAAATTTGGTCTTACTTTGAGACGTTGAAAATCTATGAAATATTAAGAAGCGAACGACCTATTCTCCCTCTTAAGGATATTTGCTATAAAGGACACTTTTTGGACATATTCGTCTTGTTGGTTCCCACTCTCCCTCACTCTAATTTCCACTATTTTGGTAGCAACAGTAGCTTAAGCGAAAGTTTATAAGTTAAGGATCTCCCCAAAATGTAATACTACCAAATCAAGAACCCATATATGCAGATATCGAAATTATCTTCAGAGTATCCAACTTGGAATTTTATTTGCTACATTATTTCAATTGTGCAAGACACCACACCAGGCAGATGACACTGGCGGTTACCATCTGAATCCACATGACGCCCTTGCACACCTTCGGTGACATTAAGTTACGTCGGTGTGATTCCATCTCTATAATATGGGTATCACTTTGCTCCTCCTGAACCACCAACGAGGACTGCTCCACCCTGGTGCCATTCAGATTATTCTCCACTGTGGGTTATTTTTGTAGAAAATCTATGTGTATCCAAGTTATACGAATTAACCCACCATTAATATCTGGTTTGTAAGCCTCAATCGATGGATAATATGCCGCTAATCCTGCATAGTATCGGCTATCGGCTAGATGTGTATAAAAATGTAGGCGAGCAACGGCTTCCTTTTCCATTTTACTTGGAAATTTTAAGGTAACAAATTTTAAGGTTAAAATCGAAAGCTGAAGATATGAGATATGTTTAGATGTGACTTTCTGAATAATTTCGATAGCCTGCTGGGATTCTCTCGTTGTTTTGAAATAGGAAACGGAATTTTATTTTTATTATTATGAGGTATTACTATATTAGGCAGAAGCATCAAAAGTCATTTTAATAAAACTTTGCAGTTAGTCTGCTATATACTCTCACTCTTGTACAAGTCGGAACGAGCCAGATCGGACGACTATAATCTATAGCTGCCATAGGAACGATAACCTTTACAGTTTTTAACATATTTTTTTTATCACATTTGATTCAAAGAATTTTCGTTTCGTTACTGTTAATAGTAAGTAACTATTAGCTGTAATTAATTCTGAACAGTGAGTAACTATGACCAGTAACTATCTATGACCAGTAATTAAGTATGATCAGTTACTAACTATGAACACAAATAAACAATGACTTGCAACTTTTGTAACAACACATATCTGGGACTTGGCTGGCAGCAGTCACTTCGTTCCGGGGATGTTAGAACCGGTTGGGAATCATATGCACAGATGTACGAGATTTGTTTTGGAACTAAGTAACTCTGAGCAGTAAGTAACCCCGAACAGTAAGTATCTATAAGCAGAAAGTAACTCTGAACAGCAAGTACCTATGAACAGAAAGTAAATCTGAATAGTAAGTATCTATGATCAGTAAGTAACTATAATTAATAAGTAGCTATTAGCATTAATTATCTCTGAACAGTGAGAATCTATGACAATTAACTAACTCTGAATAGTATGTATCTATGACCAGTAAGTAACTCTGAACAGTGAGTATCTATAAGCAGAAAGTATCTATGAACAGTAAGTAACTCTGAACAGTAACTATCTATGACCAGTAATTAAGTATGATCAGTTGCTAACTATGAACACAAATAAACAATGACTTGCAACTTTTTAACACAACACATTTCTGAGACGTGGCCGGCAGCAGTCACTTCGTTCCGGGGATGTTAAAACAAGTTGGGAATCATAGCACAGATGTGCGAGATTTGTTTTGGAAGAAATTTAAAGCAAGCTATTTGAATGAAACTATGGAGTTATTCTTCTATATAATTTTACTAATATATAAGTCGGCGCATGGCGAATCGGTGGACTATATATATATATATATAGCTCCCATAGGAACGATCGGAAAATTTAAGAAAAAAAGTATGAGCAGTAAGTAACTCTGAATAGTAAGTATCTATAATCAGTAAGTAGCTATTAGCATTAATTAACTCCGAACAGTGAGTATCTATGACCAGTAAGTAACTCTGAACAGTGAGTATCTATAACCAGTAAGTAACTCTGAACAGGAAGTATCTATGACCAGTAAGTATATATGATCAGTTACTTACTTTGAACACTAATAAACAATGACTTGCAACTTTTTAACACAACACATTTCTGAGACGTGGCCGGCAGCAGTCACTTCGTTCCGGGGATGTTAAAACAAGTTGGGAATCATAGCACAGATGTGCGAGATTTGTTTTGGAAGAAATTTAAAGCAAGCTATTTGAATGAAACTATGGAATTATTCTTCTATATAATTTTACTAATATATAAGTCGGCGCATGGCGAATCGGTGGACTATATATATATATATATATATAGCTCCCATAGGAACAATCGGAAAACTTAAGAAAAAAAGTATGAGCAGTAAGTAACTCTGAATAGTAAGTATCTATAATCAGTAAGTAGCTATTAGCATTAATTAACTCCGAACAGTGAGTATCTATGACCAGTAAGTAACTCTAAACAGTAAGTATGTATAAGCAGTATCTCTGAACAGTAAGTATCTATGAGCAGTAAGTAACTATGATCAATAAGTAGTTAATTAACTCTGAACAGTGAGTATCTATGACCAGTAACTATCTATGACCAGTAATTAAGTATGATCAGTTACTAGCTTTGAACACTAGTAAACAATGACTTGCAACTTTTTGAACACAACACATTTCTGAGACGTGGCCGGCAGCAGTCACTTCGTTCCGGGGATGTTAGAACAAGTTGGAAATTATATGCACAGATGTGCGAGATTTGTTTCGGAAGAAATTAAAGAGCAAGCGATTTGAATGAAACTATGGAATTATTCATATAATTTTACTAGTAATAGTAATATATATATATATATGAGAGATCGGAAAATTATAAGAAAATTTGATCAAATGTAATGTACAGCCATTAATCTAGAATTTTGTGTATAATTTTATGAAAATCGGACTACTATATTATAGAGCTGCCATACAAACGATCGTTAAAAAAAAACTGTAAATAAAAAATTACTTTAATGTTTTTTAACATAAATATATATAATTTGTATTAATTCGTAAAGATAGAATTTCATTCTAAAGGGTTACAAACTTCGAAATGCCGAAGTTAGCTTCCTTTCTTGTTCTAGATTTTTAGATTTTTTAGTCCAAGAATCATGATGCTGTTGTAGCCAAAAATGAAACACCAACCCTAACATTTTCAATACAAATTCCTGAACTTTTAGATTTTATGCACCAGGCGCACAGAAGGCAGCAGAGGATTAATTTACTTCAGTGCAATTAATGATTTTCACTCAACTTCAACTCTTCATCTTCACTCAGATAAACGCAGCAGCTCATTTTCGTTCTCATGTTCTATGTTCGTCAGGGGCGCCACCTGGCGGATGCTTGCTGAAACTCACCCTGGTTTTAACCGTGTTTCAAACCAAAACTCAATGACACGATTTCCACTCACCGCCAAGATCAGATTTGTGCAATGAGTAAATATAATGAGTGAAAATATTGGTCAATTACCCCTCTGCTGCTTTCTGTGCGCCTGTTACTACAAATGGAGCAATTGTTAAATTTGTAATGAACATGTATAACTTAAAGCTGAGGTTTTGCCAGTACAATATTTGTATAATAAAAATATTAATGTTTTAAAATTCCCCTAATAAATTGTCTATTTCCCAATATTGAGTAATTTCAAACAAATAGCAAGAGAACAAAGCTTATGCATAGCTAAAAGCTTGCACTCTATATTTGCTCTTTAATTCCCCAAAAGCGGCCTTCTGCCAAAGAGAGCCAAGCTTAGCTGTTGGCCATCGTCATCGAGAGAGCGAAAAATTCGCGCGCGACGCCAAAAAACAAACGGGGATAATAGAAAAGGGAAAATAGCGTTTTCTCACTCACCCCTTTAGATGTGTTGTTGCGGCAGATCGGCCGGCAGCGGCGAACAAGTGGACGAAACGCACAACAGCAAAAGATGAACTTCACATTTGTAAGGTTATGTCACACTTTAGCACATTTTCTTCACGGTTTTTGGACCTGCGCATCGGAAAAAACAATTAAATTAACTAACAAAGTAACACGCAATGATCTTGTCTATGTTTTGGTTAGCAATTAAAAGGAAAAACATGATGGCGGCCTGGTTGTCGGTTTGTGGGTACTCCAGGGGTGTCCCCGCATCACTAAAATTTTCACAGCCGGTATTTGGCGGGTTTCCGGGCTTTTCCTATTGTTTTTCCATACTTATTGGCACCTGCTATTGTTTTTCACCATTTATTGACACTTTCCGCTGTTTTTCCGCCGTTGGTTTACCGATTTTCACTTTTTTCACCGATCTTGCGTGCGGCCGCCATGGTTGTCGTTTTTGCTCTGCCGGGTTTTTTCCACTCTTTTATGTTATTACCTTGCTCCTGGAATTTAACAGCCCATGTTAACGAAAGCTGCTCTCATTTAATGTAACTAGCGAAGAGAGGGCGTAGGAGCGAAAATGAGCTTATGCATCCGTGCAAGGAGTGATTATGTTGAGTGGAAATACTGTCATACTTCTTTGCACTGAAGTAAATTAACCCTCTGCTGCCTTCTGTGCGCCTGTTACTTCAAATGGAGCAATTGCAAAATTTGTATTGAACATGTAAAGTTAAAGCTGAGGTTTGGCCAGTACAATATTTTTACAACAATATTATTGTTTTTAAATTCCCTTAATATCGTGGAATAAATTTTCCATTTCCCAATATTGAGTAATTTGCAAACAGATAGCAAAAAAGGCAAACTTATGCACAGCTCTGGACGGGATTAAATGGTAATATTGGTTTGCACTTTTTATTTGCTCTTAAATTCCCCAAAAGCGTCCTTCTGCCAAAGACATACTAGAAGAGAGCCAAGCTAAGCTGCTGCGCTTCGTCATTTAGTGGAATTAATGGCTTGCACTCCATATGCACTCTTTAATTCCCCAAAGCAGACATCTTTTAAAGAGAGAGCAAAGAAGAGCACGGCTTAGCTGTTGACCATCGTCATCGTGTGGCGAGAGAGAGCGAAAAAATTCGCGCGCGACGCCAAAAAACAAACGGGGATAATAGAAAAGGGAAAATAGCGTTTTCTCACTCACCCCTTCAGATGTGTTGTTGTGGCAGATCGGCCGGCAGCGGCGAACAAGTGGACGAAACGCACAACAGCAAAAGATGAACTTCACATTTGTAAGGTTATGTCACACTTTAGCACATTTTCTTCACGGTTTTTTGCACTTGCGCGTAGGATTAGCAATAACATTAACTAACAAAGTAACACACAATGATCTTGTCAATGTTTTGGTTAGTAATGTAAAGGAAAAACACGATGGCGGCCCGGTTTGCAGTTTGTGGGTACTCCAGGGGTGTCCCCACTTCAATAAAATTTTCACTGCCGGCATTTGGCGGGTTTCCGGGCTTTTCCAATTGTTTTTCCATACTTAATGGCACCTGCTATTGTTTTTCACCATTTATTGACACTTTCCGCTGTTTTTCCGCCGTTGGTTTACCGATTTTCACTTTTTTCACCGATCTTGCGTGCGGCCGCCATGGTTGTCGTTTTTGCTCTGCCGGGTTTTTCTTTTGCACACTGTTACGTTAGTAGTTCGCTCCTGGAATTTAACAGCCCCATGTTAATGGATGCTGCTCTCTTGCTCTTATTTTAAAGTTACTGGCAAAGAGAATGAATATATTGAGTGGGAATACTGAGTTAATTAACCATCTGCGGGTTTCTGCGAGCCTGGTGCTCGAATACGAAAAGTTAATGAAGTTATATTTATCTTTTAAGTTTAATTTATTGCAATGATTAAATTAAGTATTTCCCAAGAAAAAACTAAACCATTTTATTACGTATTTTAATTACAGTTTATTTCAAGTGTGTTTTTTCTTAATTTGTTTTTGTTTTTCTGGGGGGGGGGTGTGGGCGAGTGTTTCATCCGCTGATGAACAAATTACATTTGACATAATACATAATGAGAACGCTTTTGATGTCGGGTCGCCCTGTTTCCCAACTTCTTTTTTGTTTTGGGGTTTTTTAACTTTTTAATTAATTTTTTTTGTAATTAATTGCACATGAACATGAGTATTGTACATATGTTGGTGTACTTTTATGTAATGCGTGTGCCGATCATGTTCGTGTTTCACTTCATTGCAATTTCCCATTAATGTTTTTGCAACTCAAATACCCTTTTTTTTGGAGACTACGATGAAGGTACGTTTCCTATAGCAAAGCTATATTTATTTAAGATCCGATACCGTATGGGAACGTCAACAAACAAGGCTTCATTTGATTCATTATTCATTTTAATCATTTGCTAAGGCTAATTTCATTCTGCTTTTCTTCTCTTTTGTTTTCTCTGTTCTTTTTTCTTGGGTGTAGGTGTGTGTTTGGCGAAAAAACATTGCATAATTATGGGGGCAGTGGATGCTTCAAGGGGTGCTAATACAGTGCAAACTCTGTGGCATGAACAAGAGCCAGAAGAGTGAGTATTTTTAAGTCTGATAAATACGAAAATGTGAAAATTATATAGTTTATATTTTATAGAGAATTTTGCTTTGACTTTTCAATAAACCATAACCTTATTCTTATAGAATTTGATTCCAGCTTGTGGCACAAAATATATTCTATTTTGAATGAATATTTAAGTTATTAGATTTAAACCCCATCGATTTAAGATCGAATTGAAAGTTCACCTCACAGAGTGTGCACTGTATAGGCATATAAATCAAGTCTTAAAAAAAAAACAAAAGCCACTCCTGTGTAACTCTCTTACTGGCGGATGTGGGTGTGATTGGGCGTGTGGGTGTGCGTGTGTATTTCACATCGATATATTCGATAAATCGATTTGATTCGACAACAACAACAACAAAAGAAAAGGCACAATTTTGATGAAACGCTTTCCCAATGCTTTTGTCAATGCGCATGCGTGTCCTCCCAAATGGAAATCATCTCTTTGCCATGTGTGGAAATTCTAGGGCGAAAAGGTTAGTCAAAGAAAATCCATTTTGTTTTTATGTTTCTTCAGCAGTTCCTTTGCTCTAATTTGCAATATACATTAATATATATATATATATATTTATATATATATATTGTTTCTTTATCTAGTTGATAATTGCTTGAGTTAGTTAGTTTTCGAGGGATTCACGTTTTGTTTTTCTTTTTTTTTAGTAAAATCTAAGGCTAGTTGGAAAAGTGATGCTGGGAGGAGGGGGCGTGGAAAGGACGCGGCTCTCCTGCTGCTGGGAACAACCAATTGTTCGCTAGGAGAATTCTGCGATGCCAGCCCCTGATTATTTTTATAAGTATTTTAGTTTAGTTTTTTTGTTTGAGCGAAAAAAAATCACTTGTTACAATTAAGTTACCCATAAAAGACGTGGGGCACACCCTGTTAAGCGGTTATCTATAGTTTCACTTTCTCTTTTGCTTAGCTCTCTTCTGTTCCTACTTTCTTTTCTCCCATTTCTCTTTATATCTCTTCCTCCTTTCATTTGTTTAATGCTTTAGGTTAATGCAATTAATTACGCTAGTTGGATGTATCAAATTGATTAAGAAGAAGCTTGCTTGGATTTGTATTTTTGTTTATTACATTTAAGGATTCTCCGCCTCTGCTTCTTCTTCTGATTCTTTTCGTTTCTTTTTATTTATATTTGAAATTTATTTATTTTGTTTTTCTTCTTTGCTTACTTTCGTTTTTTTATTTTAACAATGGTGAAAATTATATCATGAACTTGTTACTGCAGTTTTTGTTTTATGTATATATGTATATATTTGTATATATTTTTTAAATAATATCAAATTTACTCACAAAAAAAGAATAGTATGTTTCAAGTAGGAGAGAAAGAGAGAGGGTAGTAAATAATAATATTATTAAGTAGTACAAAAAAAATAATAGTATTTTTATGCATATTTATATGAATAATATAATTAACACTCAACTTGAATTTAGCTAAATTTCATTCTTGATTCGAATTTCATATGTGTTTCGCTTTTGTTTTTAATCTTCGTCTGTGCGTAAATTGATTTTTATTTTATAATTTAAATTAATCAGCAAATATTTAGAGTTATCCCCAGCTAGCTTTCATTTACTTTTGTATTTAATTTAGTTATTTATTTATTTGCCTTTGCAATTCGATTTGTCGCTTCAATACGAAAAAAAAACATAGTTTTTGTATTGTAAATATGTGTTTGCGTGTGTTTTGTATATAAAATTAGACCGCATCGGTAATCCATGTATGTATGTATATATGTTTGTGTGTTTGTGTGTGTATTATCTACATACAATAATTGTTTTATAGATTTTCTGTTTGTTTAAATATACAATATTATTACTCATTATATATTAGATTTAAATCAACGCGACAACACTTTGCTTCTTGCTTTCTACTTCTGCTTTCTGCTCTTGCTTTCTGCTATTCCTTAGTCCTTCCCTAATCCTTCCTCAGTTCCCCAATTCGATACCTCAACTGTGGCCATAGTTTACTTTGACTTTGTGGACGCGTTTTCAGAAAAAGGAGTGCGACGATTTCTGGCTGACTATATTCTAAATGGTACAGATACATATATAAGTAGATGTTTAGTGAATGAATGTGTGTGTGTTTAGGTGTTTATATGCAACTTTTCCGCTAGTTTCTAGTATTTATTATACGCAAGTTTGTTATTCATTTCTTAACTTGTTTTCTTTTTGTTGCTTTTAGGCAAAGGCGAGTGGGAAAAATTACATACATCTAACAACAAATGCACCAACGTTCATCATCATCATCATCGTCATTATTAGCATTATTATAATAATAATTATTAAAATTATTATTCAATCAATGTATATAGTTATCATTATTTATTATCATTATCGTAATGGTAAATCGTTATCGTCATTCTCTGACTATATATCTGCCACCGCATCGTCGTCGGTCGTCATCGTCGTCAATATTATTCGTAGTCAGCTAATAAACATTGTCGTACTTAAACTTACATTATGCAGTGTGTATGTGTGTGTGTGTGTTTTTGTTTCGTGTGTGTGTGTACATATTTTCCATTCTTTATATAGATCAATAATATATATCAAAAAACACATTATCGTCAACATAACTAACTCGCTATAACTCTTGGCTCTCGTATGTGTATATAAACATCAACATAAACAAACAACACTAGCGCTTCGTCTCTCTATGCCATTATATAATCGGATCTTACGTCTATATGTAAGTGGTGTGTTGTATATATTATATATTTCGCTTTCTTTTCATTTGTTTTGTTGTTTTTTTTTTTATTTTTTGTTTATACCCAACTTTTGTTCTAACTAAAAACTATACACCTTTGTCCGTTTCATTCAGTTTGAACATCTATGTATGTATATATACCATTATTTTCGTCTCCTCTACTCTCTTTCTCTCTATCGAATTCCCTACGAAATGCCAAATGCTCCTGCGCTTTCTTTCTATCTCTCTCAGAGAACTCTCAACTGTTCTTCCCTAGCGTGCTTTCTTCTGATCTTATAGTACACCCATACCTGTGAGTTATAGGGCACATCCAAAACTTTTGTTGGGCAATTTGCTACATTAAGTTGGCTGCTGCGGCTGCGTTATTAGAAATTTGTTTCTCTAATGTCTTCTGTCCGTGTTTCTACTGCGTTGTTGTTGTTGTTGTTGAAGTTGTAATAGAGTTGTTGGAGTTGTTGTGGTTTAAGTAGTTGTTGTAATCGTTACAGTCCTTGTAGTTGTTGAAGTTGCTGCTGCTGTTGTTGTTGTTTCAGTTACAGTTTCTGTTATTGTGATGCTTCCTCATCATCAGTGCGGCGTCTTCTGTTGTTGCGTCTGTTGATTTGTTGCTGCCGCTGTTCCTCCTATTGTTGCTGTTGTTGTTCTCGAGACCGGTCGAGATCGAACTCGAGGCGGCAGTGTCCATGTTGTGGTGGCTGTTGGTCATAGAGATTCCTTGGAAGGTACCCAAATGGTTGGTCCCGATTGTGACCAAATCATTGATTTCACTTTGCTATAGATCTCCTCAATGGTGTCGCCCTGAACAACGCCTGTTATGGATAATGAAAGAGATGTATATTAATTTGATATATAAGTAATATCGATATGAACTTACCCGTAAAGTATTCGCCGAATTCCTGTTCCATCTTAATCGCCCGCTCATAAGTCTTCTTGGCCTGCTCCTCCGTCATCCGACGATTCATCTCCCTAAGGGGTTTTAGATATACATTTAATAGGAGAATGCTTAAGATAATCATTTGATATAAACTCACATCACCGAGTCCACAGACTTGGGTTTGATGAACACAGCAACGGGATAGAGCTGGGCCACTTGGAGCCGCTTGATTGCATTGCCGGAAACATCCAGGATGCAGTGTTTACCCTTTTCCGCCACCTCACGGACACTGGCCACCGAGGTGCCATACAGATTATCATTGTACTGGCCCGCCTCAATGAACAGATGATTCTGGATGTCACGCTCCATTTGCTCGCGCGAGGACACAAAATGATAGTCCCTGCCGTCCACCTCATATTCGCGCTTGGGTCGGGTGGTGTCTAAGGAGAAGCGAAAGGGAAAAGGTTATTATTAAGGAAGAATAAAGATGAGTATATAAATATATTTACGTGGCACACAGGATCCAAACTTGTCGGGATACTCTGATATTAAATCATCGTTGATGCGATCCTTTAGGGGTCCCAGAATTATAACCGGACGCGTATAGTTGATGGACAAGCGCTGCACGGCCTCGTAGGACAGCACTGTCTCCTCGGAAGCTGGAAAGTAGGGCAAGCAATCGGATATTAGGATCATGACAACGTGCAGGTGTGCTTCTACTACATCATCGCAGTGTTCTAGAGATGAGTGGAAAACTGGATGGGCGGGAAGGATGGTGGGGAAAAATGGATGGAGGATGGGATTTCTAGGACTCAAAATTTACTTTCAAATCGGATCAAAGTTTCAAAAACTTTAGTTTTGGGGGGGAGCAGCATTACATTTTACACAAGATCAATTAGAGCTAGGGGATAAATTTAGTGGATATTCTCAGGGGGTGGGATATATATATATAACTCTAAGCTAGGTTCGGTTAAGTTCTCATATACAAAGGATTCACAATTTTTATACCATTTTTTCAGGATTAATTTGCAAAATATATATGTAAGAGTCCCAGGCAGGAGATTCTAAATTTAGGATTTTAATTTGATTCTAGTTCAGTTCTAATGTTCAATTTGTTGGGCTTAACTTTCTCAAGACATTCAAAATATACAAATATATAGAAAATGAAACGGCAATTAAACTAGAAATCGTATTCCAAATGTAAATGCATTATATGTTTTTTGTGTGAAATTATGTTTCTAAAGTATTCAAAGCTACACGACGACACTCATGTATGACATGGCCATAAACATACACTCGTGTGTTTACATAAAGGAAACATAAGATATAGATAGATGGTGTGTAGGGCAGGCGAACACTACAATTACAATAACGATTACAATTAAAATTACATACTACATACATGACATCATGATCTTTTACATACATGGCACACACACAATTCTTGGACACACAATATCGAAAATGAGTGAAGGGCGTCATGTGTCTCATGTGAAATTAGAGCTAGCTCTCAGATGATATATATATTATTTTTTTTGGGGTCAGTTTTCATTGATTATTGTTGTTGTTGAAGGAACACAATCGCTGTTCTTTTTTTTTTTTAAGGGGAATTATTTGGTTACAAAAAACACTGGATTTACTCACTTGACTTGACTTGAAGAGACTTACTGAGACGATCGAACTTTTAACGAGTGCTACGACCAAATAAAACTCCCTCGATTTGTACAATTCCTTTTATTTTTTTTTTATATCGTTTTTCAGATTGTAAATATTTCACAAATATCTGAGAAACAAAAAGGGGGGCCAGGATATGGACGGAAAAACCTCTTCTCATATATATAGTTTTTTTATATTTCTCTTCCGTTTAAGAAACAATTTTTGCGGGTGAAGGGAAACACATGCAAAATACGAAGGAGACGAGCAAAAAATATACATTTAAAGACAACAGCAAGTCAAACTCAATTGTGATCGGTCCAGTACTCACATTATATATATATGTATATATATCGTGTTTGGGGGTGTGATTTAACTCGGAGGAAAAGACGGGGCAATCCAACTAACTACCAAGTCAAAGGGAGAAAAGTACTCTAAGCTCAAATTCAATGGGGTCCTTTTTTATAGATATATTTTCTGGGTGATTCTACAATGTGAAAAAAATAGGGGGGAGTGGTGGGTGGTGGGGGATACGATACCGAGTGTGTGTATGTGTGTGTGGGGGGGATCACAGGACTAATTTGCTATTGAGTGGAGTGGATTTCATAGTCATTTGGTTCTACGCAACTGTCAACAATTCACAAATATATCAATAATGTTTAAAACATAATAAAAAGAATAAATTGTATAAGAACAAAAGTAAAAAAAGGGAAAAATATATATAGTTAGGGCCTCAATGGAGATATTTTCCTAATTACACAGCCACAACAAAAGAAGACAGAGAAGATTACTTCGGGAAGCCGAAGTCTGAATACCCTTGTAGTTTCCATTATTGACTTTAAGAACGAATTGAAAATCTATCAAAACTACACCAAAAATCCATTTAATATCGAATAAAATAATGGTATTATGATTTTAGTCAGAAGCCTATAACTCTATGAAGGAGTCATTTCCGACCCCATAAATCATATATATTCTTAATCAGTATCGAAAACCGAGTCTATTTAGTCATGTCCCAGGGAAAATTAATTTTTCAAATTTTTTGAAAATTTTATAAGGGGTTACATCGTTAAAATTTTCGAAATTTTATCAAAAAATCTGATTTTTTCAATTTAAATAGAGTATGCAGATTTATGCATTTAATGAAAACTAGCATAGAACAGCTTTCCTTATTGAAATTAATAAATTTTTAGCCAAGTTATGATATTTTTAAACTTTGATTTTTCTATAAAATTATCATGTTTTTATATGCTAAATTTTTAGGGAAAACAAAGTTTTTCAAATATTCTAACTAAGCCAAAAATGAACTTATTTTAATTCGGAAAGCTGTTCTGTGCTAGTTTTTGAAAGGTTAACAAATCTGCATACTCAGTTAGAAACTTTAAAAAAATTAAAATTTTGATAAATTTGTTGACAATTTTAACGATGTCACCCCTTATAAAATGTTGAAAAATTTACTACAATTTTTATTCTTTGAAACACAGCTAAATCGACTCGGCTGTTAATGCTGATCAAGAATATATATGATTTATGGGGTCGGAAATGATTTTTTTACTGTGTTTTAAGCTTCTAACTAAATCATAATACTCCAAAAGGGTAAAAAATATCCTTGGACAGGAAACATCGATATATCATTTCTGTATCGCAAATGCCAATATATAAATTAATATTCTAACCTTGAAATAAATCGATAATATAAAACAAACATAAAAAATAGTGTAAACCAAAGTTATAAACAAGTCAGTTGAAAATGAAAGAAGATATTAATATCAAATAAGAATATAAACTTCAGTTTACAAAAAGTAATCAAAATACAAAATAAAATCTATAAACACCGACTTGGATCGGGATTTGTTCCTCTTAGATTGTTTATTCTCTCTGGCTCATGATCTTTAAAGAAGGATCCGAAGTTGCCACAAAATGCCCAATTCTGCTAGCAAGAACTTATTACAAAAAAAAAGAACAATATACTCAAATCTACTAAAGGCCTTTTTTTACGAAGGATATCTCTAAGATGTATGTCCTCGCGATATATATGGGGAGAGAGAGAGCGAGAGACAGAGAAAGAGATAGAAATATGGAGTGAGACAGCAGTGAATGAGAGAAAAAGCAAAGAGAAAGGCGGAAATTAAATCAAATCATAGAAAGAACGAACGAAATATACATACAACCAAGTGGAAATGATCTTGCAAAATTTTGTTTCTTTTGTATTCAGAACTAAATATTTAACTTTCATTCTTGCTGGATTGTTTTTTTATAGAAGAAAACATAAGCATTGTTGTAATTTTCACTAGTATTACGAAAAAGAAGAGACTTGTTGTTGACTTTTTTTTTGCTGTTGGTTGTTGTGGTTGCTTTTTGGTTGGTATAGTTTTTTTTTTTGTGATTGTTGGTTGGTTCAGTTGCTCGACTTACGATAGTCAGCGTCATTATTCTCCAAGTAGATCAGAGTTATCTGCTCCATATCGGGTAGCTCCACCCTGTAGATAATCTCGCCTGATCGATTGGTGGATTAGTTGTCGATTGAGGTGTACGAAAGGTTGATAAGCGCAGATTTTAGAAGAATTTAGTAGTTGATTTGGTGGATTGTTGGTTGGTTGGTTGGTTGGTAGATTGGTTGTCGCAGTTCGTGAGCGCATGGTTACAACAAATATATATGTATACATATAGAGATATATTTCGGTTTGTCATTTTGATGTTTGGTTTTCGGTTTTGTTTTTATGTTTTTTTTTCGGGTTTTTGATTTGTTTGAGAAGTTAAATATTTATAAATATATATATAGAGAGAGAGATATATATGTATATATTGCGATACGTATGTATATGCATGAGTGTATTTACGAGGTTTCGAGGATTCACAAAAAAAACAAGGTTTACGAATAACAAAATTAGGTTCGTTTGTAGTATTTGTTCCATATATACATACATATATGGATGGTTCGATCATGTGTGTATATATATTTAGAAATACAGAGAGATAGATGAAGTGACGCAGAATAAAACAATATAGTAGATATATAGTAGCAGACATAGTAGTAGAATAGTAGTAACAGTATAATAGTAGTAGTAGTAGTAGTAGTAGTAGTAGATTCGAACAGTTGAGAGTTGAGACAAACAGTAGTAGTTATTGTTGTTTGTTGTTGTAGTTGTTGTTGAAGTAGTTGTTGAAATAGTTGTTGTTGTTGTTTGTAGATTGATTGGTTGGTTGGTTGATTGATTGGTTGGTTGGTAGTAGTAGTAGGCAAACAACACAAGAATTCAAAGTAGTTCACACAGACACAAGGGGGTTAAGAATGTAAAAAGAAGAAGAACAGAAATACCAAAAGATTAACAACAAATTGTAATCATAGCTTTCATTATGTCTTGTACTGTACTGTATGTAAGTGTTTCGAGTTTCGATAAAAGATATATTTAATGGCTGCGATTTGAAAACACAAAGATGTATATCTCGAAAGGATAGATTGGGAAGAGTTTAGTCTAGTTTCTTCCTATTAAGAAGGTTTCTCATTATGTATGTGTGTGTGTTTGTCTTTGGGTATTCCGAGTCGAGAATTGTCCTGGCAAAACTTTCTTTCGGAGTTCAGAGTTCAGAGTTGGAGCAGGTAGAGGAAGAGCACTCTTTAGTATTTCTGTATTCACACCAAGCACATTTAATGTATGTATGCCGTACACACATATGTACATACCGACTGGCGTAACAGTCGGTTCAAGTTACATCAATGTATATGTACATTCAGATTGATTGATCGACATCGAATCGAGCGTGGCAAAAACAAAAACATTGAAAAACGACGTGTGATGCAAGCGGATAGGATAATAAAGAGAACAGCCAAGTTTTGATCGAAATGGTAGAGATTGATTGTCTGTTTAATTTTAATCGAGGGGAAAGGGAAGGGGTCTGGGTCTGTATGTATGCCTAAAGTATGTAAGTATATATTACATCCAAAATAATTATAGTCTAAGCCACAGCCCGTACTTTAAGCTCACTTTTTCTATTCAGTTTCCAAGAAAGAATCTTAAAAGAACTGACTTTCTGTCTCAGAATGCAGAAAATATAATAAAAAAAAACTCTGCGAATCCTTTAAGATGCTGTTGCTTATGCTGTGCAGGCAAAGCATGAAATAGGATGCGAGAAAGGCTTCTTTCTATTTAATTTTCTTTTCAAATTATATTCATTGGGTCAGTTTTTGCGAGATCTGGCTTAAACACAATCATTTATGTTGGAAGTACATAGGTGCATATAGCAAGATGTTTGCTATCTTCGTAAAATAGGTCTGTAACTTCAGTAAATCTGATGAATATATGTATTAGACGTAGTGTAACGCAAACGTTCTATATATGCTTTCATTTTTTTAGTAAACATTTGATATACTCTTGGTACATAAGGGTATAAAATATGAGCCATTGTAATATCAATGCACATACATAAATTTCGTTTAGATTATGTACATTTACATTACATTGTTTGTACATTAGACACCAAATAGATGATCATTGATACATCTTATTGGCCTAGTTTTCTTCACATTTAGTGTACATTTATTGGACATTTACATGCATATGATTAGAGTTCTGTTTTGAATGTTACATTGGACGACCTATTGAAATCCTCAAGTCTTTATGGATGTAGTATATGAATGTATGTATGTACGAAACAAACTATATATCACAAATTAAGTCATACATATAATTGAGACGTATTTATATAGTTTGAGAATCTCTTGATGTATTATATATCTAGAGCGAACGAGTATTGTAGAGATCGCCAGAGATGTGTGATGTACAGAGATGTAAGAATGTAAGGGGGGAAAAACGTACTGAGAACTCAAAAAGGTCGAACAAACAAATAGAGTGGAGATCAGGAATAAATCCAGTTTATATTCACGTCAATTCTGTGTGATGATGTACTGACATATGTATGCATGTATGTAAATATATATGTTATGTATGTAGACATGATGTATGTTATGTACGTAAGGTATGACGGAGACTGAAGACTGGTGTTAGTTCTTATAGCAAATGCAAATTCTATGAGTGTAAATCGGATGTTAGCGTCTTATAAAATGTTATATTATGTTATGTATTTAATCAGATTTAAATATGTATATGTGATAGATAGATAGATATATATGTTTAAGTAGATATCGATATGTATATGTTTGTAAATACTTTGGATCGAGCGAGTACATACCTCCTTCAGCATTGGCATCGTCTTGTGTGTAGCAAAGCATAAAGGCTAGAAAAACGAAGAGAAAATAAACGAGAAACCGAAAGGGAAGAGAAAATAGAGAAGAACAGAAGAGAAGAGAATCGAAAGAGATATATGTTTTGGTCAGTTTAAAACAGAATAGCGATGACGATCGATTCATTTCGATAGACAGAATTATATATTTAATTATCGTTTTGTGGTAAAATGTGATTATGAATGGTTCTATCACATATATAAATTAATGGTTATATATATTTTTCCAATGCCAGAACCATTCAAGACCAGGGAAACCATCTAGGGGTTCCTTTTGTCTCTGCTATATGTATTATATTATTAGTTGGAAACAGATCTAGCGGGGTATCAAGAGTTGATTTTTTTTTTTGCTAGTTTTTCACAGTCGCAATAGTGATGTAAATATTTGATGAAAGCAGCTGGACACACAGTTATAATTATTAGTTTGATTTCTTGATAGAGAGAACAGCGATAAGAAGATAATATATATTGTGTGTGTACTGTCAGTAAGGAGTAGCAGGAGAAAAAGCTTATTTTTATAAATGAACAAAATAACGAAAACGACTTGGTTTCATCACGATGATGTATATGATGTAAAACGTGCTCTTCGTCTCTTGTTTACGTTGGTTACAAAACAGTTACTTTAGCCTAAGCCAAGACTATAATTATATATACACGATGATGACCATGAGCTATATATATAGAAGAACCCCTCAAGGACTACCGGTTAGTAAGATCGTGAATGTGTGTAGTTATAGCTTACTGTCTATATGTGGTTGTGATGTGAGAGAAACTAGACCCATTGATAAAGCCCTGACACCTTCTTAATGCATTTACAAAACGGTAAGATTACTGCTGAAGATATATATACAGATATATCCATATATATATATATGGAAGGGAGAGTCCTCATAACATCATATTTATAACTTACGTTGCGGTTCATTCGCCTGATTGTTGTTGACATTGTTGATGTCAATCTCGCTGGTGCTGCTCACAACTCCATTGGCTACAAGCACACACATTTTTAGATTGGGTTCGATCGAGGGGGTTCAGGGGTCACGGCACACACAAAATAATAAACACAACATCGACATCCAAGCACATCGAACAGAAATTGTGATATGTGTGTGTATGTTGAGGTACGGGTAATGTACGATATTTCATTGGTTCATCATCATCATCATCATCGGTGGTGTTTTTTTTTATCCAAGTGTAGTTGGTGGTGAGTGTGGATAGAGTATGAGTGTTGGGACATCACGGATTGTCGAGGGATAACAATTTATATAGATATGAAAATAAACAGAAATATAAATTAAATGAATGCAAAGAAAAATGGAAACAATAAAATGTACATAAATAATAATAATGGCTTGAATATTCCAACTCAAATGATTGAAAATAAACAATTTCACATAGAATCTGCTTCACTTTGTTCATATTTTTTAATCAAAATACATCAACATTGAGAAAGACAATAAACAATTATAAACAAACATGAAAAATCTATAGCTTATGGTGACTGTTCTTGGAGTAAGGGATATATCCTTAGTGTTACTCTACTTCTTCACATTAATCATTATTTCTTTGTAATAAAAACAGTTCCCATTTGGCTAAATATTGGACAAGGACTTTTAAGAGTGAGTTTTGTTGGTGCAAAAGATGAAAACCTAATAACATTTACATCTTCTTCTTACAATTTAAATCAAAACAAAACAAAAACACGCACTCTTTAGACATTCGAGCAAACCGCCCCAAAGGACATCATACACGCAAAACAAACAACCAGTCAGAGAATCGGTAGAGAAATAGCGACAGAGTAAAAGGACTGTGTTGGACCTTAAGTTTAGAACTAGATATTGCTGCCTCGATTGGTTTTAGTTGGTCAATTCGCGTCTTTTAATTACAGTCTTCCGTCTTCGGAGAAAGAGCAAACGAACTCAGAACGGAGTTACGAGTGAGAGACGGACGGCTGGCTTCCCATTGAGACTTGGTCTACTTACGCTCTTGGTCGCTTCCATCTTCATTCTTCTCATCGCGACTCTTCATAAACGGAAATTTGCGCGAGAATGTGAAATTCTTTTTCTTTCGATCCAATGTCGATTGCTGTAATAGACGGGAAAATTCATTTAATTTAAATGTAATAAAAAATAATGTAAACATTCACCTTATCCATATTATTGTTGGCCGCCGCATGTCCCTGGAACTTGACGCTGCGATCCCTTGCCCGCATCTTTCGCTCCCATCGCCTCTTCGACGGCACAATGCCTATCTGTTCGTCCTCGTTATCGCCCAGGACACGTCGTGCCTGCCACCATTCATCATCGGAGGCATTCGTCACATGCAGTATATCGCCATGCTTGAAGGGCAATCCTCGGGATGGCAATCCATCGTCACGGTTCGGATCGTAATCGAATAGAGCGCGCACATATAGCGATCGCTTCTGCGTGGTCCGCAGAAGAGTTCCCGTTCCTCCAGCGCCAAGAGCCGCCTGCTGTTTCAGCTCCTGGATACGAGCCTCGAAGCGGTTGTACTCCTCGGGTCGATACTGCGCCACCAGGGTAACCACACCACCAGAAGTCTGCAAATAAACCTTAATTAGTACACATATATTTGTTTTTAATTCAATTTCAAAGTCACCTTGAGAGCCTGGGCCGCCTCCTCGTGGGTGGCATGCGTGAGGTTAACATTGTTTACGCTCAACAACTGGTCGCCACGCTTCAGCTCAGAGCCCAAGTCGGCAGGACCGCCGGCCAGTATAAAGGATACATAGATGCCCTGGCCATCCTCGCCGCCAACAATGTTGAAGCCCAGGCCCTGCGGTCCCTTCTGTATGGTAATGGTGCGCGGTTCTCTAAGGGATTGAAAGGATATTAGCAACTGTAGGAATAGAGGAAGGAGTATGCTACTCACCTGGTGATATCCTCGGTGCTGACGGCGCGCGGTGTTCCTGGCGGTACGGCGGCCAGTACATTTGTGGAGGCATATCGCGAGCCGGGCTCTAAGGAGTGATTTTTGTTCAAGGTTTATCGGTGGTTTTTCGTTGGGTATATAGTTAATATTTAGATATTAAGATAAAATAAGTTAGACAAAGATGGGGAGACAGAGATAGAGATAGAGATAGAGACAAAGAATAGATCGGTTAATATGGCTTTTAACAGAAAAAACAGTTCCCGCAATTCCAAGAGCAATTCCTTGTGAGATCTTACATTTATATATAGTAAAGACAGAGACAGAGATTCATTCGAAACGTAAAAGGGACAGAGACAGCAGGCACCGTCAGAGAAGGACGGCAACACCAATATATATATATGGTAACTGAGGCCAAACTGAGAAAAACGGAAACGGAAGATAACAGAACGGAAACTAAAGATTGCATCCCCACAATACACACACACACATAGATAAAGACACACACCATACACACAGACTCTCTCGTTGGATTAAACACAACAAAATCACCACAGATCGGTTTTATATTATATCTGAAATAATCCCAAAACGAACACACACAACTCTAAAAAATACAGGCGCCAAGCTCAATACACAAAATCTACTTGGGGGGAATAGGTGGGGGCAGGGGCAGGGGCAGGGGCAGGGCAGCACATTATAGCAGCTTCCACAGCTTTTGTGAGAATGAAGGTGAATGTCTTTAAGGAGATCCTCAACAGTATCATTATTCATCAGCAGAGCAGCAATGGCAATTAATACAAGGTTCCAAGGACAAGGAATATTATTCTAGATCGGGCAGGATGAAGCAGGAGGGCAGGAAGAAGGCAAAATGCACAAAATAACAGAAAACTATGATTAAGAGTAATTAAAAGAAATTATATGGCAAACTAGCAGGATTAATTCAGTTGAAAATACAACTAAAGGGGATAAATTGGGTTTTAAAAAGGAATTACTTAACTAATTAAAGCAAGATCTATTCTTTTACCAAAGAAATGGAAAGATTAAGATCTTTAAAAGTAAAAAACCATTAAAGGAAACCATTAGTAAATAAAAGTAATACAAACAAGAAAGGAAGCTAACTTCGGCACGCCGAAGTTTATATACCCTTGCAGATAGAACTTCTATGAATAAAAAACCATACAATACAAATTATATATCTTTGTGTTAAAAAACAATGAAGTAAGTAATACCTGCTTTCATTTCATTCACCTATACATATTATATTTGCAGTTTTACATTCACTGATTTGCATTTTTCCTCCACATCAAACGATCGTTTGTATGGCACCTATATGATATAGTCGTCCGATTTTCATGAAATTTACCACAAAATTTAAGACTTAAATTAAATGCCTATACCTAAAATTTGATGAAAATCAGTTGAAAACTGAAAAGGTTATAAATTTAATTGTATTAATTTCTCGATCGTTCCTATGGGAGCTATATGATATAGTAGTCCGATTTTCATAAAATTTAATGCAAAATTGTAGAGTATAGTAAAATGGCTATATCTCAAATTTGATCCAATTCTATTGAAAACTGAAAAAGTTAAAAATTTGTTTGTAAAAATTTTCCGATCATTCCTATGGCAGCTATATGATATAGTCGTCCGATCCGGCCCGTTCCGACATATATACGAGTGAGAGTATATAGAAGGCTAACTACAAAGTTTCATTCAGATAACTTCAAAACTGAGAGACTAGTTTGCGTAGAAACGGACAGACGGACAGACGGACAGACGGACAGAAGGACAGACGGACAGACGGACAGACGGACAGACGGACATGGCTAGATCGACTCGGCTGTTGATCCTGATCAAGAATATATATACTTTATATAGTCGGAGGTGCCTCCTTCACTGCGTTGCAAACTTCTGACTGAAATTATAATACCCTGCAAGGGTATAATAATAGGAAAAGAAAAGACTACAAAGCATAGAAAATAAGATAAAGCATTAAGGTTATAAAAGAAAATTCTACATGATAATAATAAGCCCAGGTACAAGTGCAATTATTGCTAGAGATTCGCAGGGAAACTCCCATAAATACCCTTGACCAGGACATATGATAGATGTTACACATAAGAAGGAAAGTATAAACAATAAATTACAAATTACAGAGGATCAATTAATGTAAATAATAAACAAATCAAATCGCTTACGGCGCGGCTGGGTGATTGGGAACGGTTGCTTGGTGGCTGGGATTCGACAGGCAGGGCGGGCATGGAAGCATTGTTATAAAGGAGGCGGGTGGTGTGGCTGGTGTTGCAACTGTTGTCGTGCCGCTGCTGTTGCTGCTGCTGCTAATGTTGTTATTATTGTTGTTGTTGTTGATGTTATTAATGCTGATGATGTTGTTGCTGCCGCTATTGCTATTGCTAATGTTGCTGTTGCTGTTAGCGCTAAGCGTCGGCGGCAACTTGCTGCTACTGTTGCCTGAGCCTGTGACTGTGGTGACTGTGGGGTTGTTGCTTGCAATGACTGATGCGGCTGCTATGGCTGCTGCAGCCAGTGGTGTTGGTGTTGGTGTTGGTGTTGCTATTGGTGGTGAATCGACAACCGTTTGTCCCAAACTATTAAGCGCACCTGTAGACTGCGAATTGGCCATCTGATGCTGCGCCTGCTGATGCACTTGACTTTGACTCTGGCTGCTGGCCAATTGGGACTGCGACTGTGACAATTGTTGGCCAGCTGTAAGGCCTCCTCCTCCTCCTCCTCCTCCGCCACCGGACGCACTGGTGGTCAAATGCTGTGTCTTGCCCACGATCAGAGTTACCTTGTCGGTGATTGATTTTAAAGTGGCCACCGCCAGTTCGTGCGTTACATTCTCCAGGTTCTTTTCGCTCTATAAAAAGAATATATCATTGTAATTATTACCGTCTATTGATTATATTTGTATAATTTACCCCATTGGTGCGCACTCCAATTAGTTTGTCTCCAATGTAGAGACGTCCATCCACCTGAGCCGCTCCTCCATCCATTAGTTTCGTCACATAGATGCCATTATCGCCCGGGATGTGCTGATTACCAATGCCACCGGCAATGGAGAAGCCCAATCCCTTGCCACCCTTGACCAGATCAATCTCAATGACCTTGGGCCCACTGACACTATCCCGGGCATCGCCAGCTGCCGATCCAGGTGCCGGTGTTGTGGCCGTTCCTCGTTTTCGCTTCACATGAAGCTTCACCACATTACCGGCCTTCTTTAAAGCATCCACGGCGGAGGCATGTGGAACATCCACCACGGACACCTCATTCACAGAGACGATAATGTCATTGATGCTCAACCGTCCATCGGCGGCAGCTGCTCCGCCCGAAATGAGCTTGGTGATGTAGATGGAGGTATCGGTGCCGATGTGCGGATTATCTGTACCGCCGGCAATGGAGAATCCCAGTCCAGAGTTGCCACGCTCCAGTTGAATGTCCTCGTACAACCAGCTGTCATCGCCATTCACCTGTTAAAGAAGGATTATAAATGGTTAATTAAATGTTTTAGTCCGCTAAATAACAATAACACAAAGGCGACAATGCATAAAGGATGATGATTAATAGGTGGGTGGGTTGTCTTGCTGTATGAGAGGTGAGTCAGTGAATGTTTCGATGTCTCATAATGTTTATGACGTAATGTGGGGCAGGATACAAAGATAACTAGATTATTATTTTTAGGAATAATCTTAATCATGTCAGTGGAGATTAAGAATATTTATTAATTTAGTTATGAGCTTTAATTTATTGTAAACATATGTACATGACGATGATGTGTGGCTTTTATTTATTGCAAAATATATATTTAATATTTGCAAACGTTATTGTTAAAATTTTCGACAAATACATTAGCTGCTGGACTGAAAACAGGATGCAAGTTATTGGCCATCTCCATTTTTGCACTATTTTTTATGATGTCAGCATGGAGAATTCGTTTATTCAGTGAACACATAAAATATGAACACACACAGTACGGCACAAGACGAAAACACAAGCACATGTTGTTAAAAACAACAGACAAACGATGTGAAAATTTAGCCAGAATTTTCTTTTGATTTTAAAAGAGTTTTTTTTTAAGGATTTTATGATTAATTTAGGTACTTGAAAGGCTTAAAATAGAACTGAGTAATCTGTATTCAATTTAAAAGAAACGATTATACTTTATTACTTGACACAAAATTTAAGAAAGCTTATTTAAACATAATAAAAGTCTATTCTTATTGAATTTATATCTTATTTTGAACAATTGAAAGCATATTCAAAGCTATCTCTTCATTTCAAAAGATTAAATCATTTTTTTAGCATGTTTTACCACTAAAAAAACCAAATATTTCCTCTAAAATCAATCGAAAAGTCAAATTGGCTTAGATTTTGCAACCTTCCTGGTGGCTTACCTTTCCCGAAGACGCCTTATGGAGCTGTAGAAAGAGAGAAAAGTGGCGCCGGAAGAAAGACATAGATTTAGAGGAATCAAAACATAGAGCTTCAAAACAAAGGTCTTATAAATATGTACATATTCTTTATATATGAATATACCCCGCATTATAAGCCAGATTAAACCCTCTAAAATGCCACACCCTCGCCGGAGATGGGAAATCGTGTCAATGGCGTCGTCTCTTGAATTATCTGGGCCGTAGCCAAAAACTCTCGAATGCAATTCACATGTTTTCCAATTAACAGAGATGACCAAAAAAAAAAAACCAACAGCAGTCCGCTAAAAATGGCAACACAACAGTCTTACTTGCACAACCAAGATCTTAGAGGGTTAAGGGGGTTGACTTGGCTTGGGGCTGGGTTCAGTTCGGTTGTGGGGGTTATGGCATCGTTAAACGAGTTCAATTGATTAGCAGCCCAGTGTAAATGAATTCATCAAGCGTCGACGACAGCAACATTAACCCTAAGAAAATGAGCGAAATATATATGGATACATGCATCTATCTGTCTATAAGTAATATATGTGCATATTGCAGTGTATTGCAAAAGTGGGCGTTTCTCTAGCCCTATTCAGTCTGGCGAAAAATTACCAATTAACCCTTGGGAGTGGGTCACATCAAGTATACGCAGAGGGGCCCCCCATGTACTTAAAGGGTTTATTGTAATATATGTGGTTTTGGTTAATCACTAGAGGATTCTCTTTAGTACAGTGTCAACTCAATAGGATACCTCATTCGACTTGATTATGGTTTATTAAAGATATTTATGGGATCATTTTAAGTTTCCAATTATTGTATTTGTTTTGCTGATAATCCAGTATTTGCAAACCTTCAAGTATGGTATTTGAATTGGGGTTTTAAATGAGTTTAAAGGGTTTTTAAAGGATGTATAATTTCCAGTTTTAAAACTCCAGAAATTTACGTGTTTAAGAAAGGACTTTGCCTGACAAGAAACTAAATTTAAAGCTCTTTGACTTAAAATTCCCATAAATTCTCCCTTCCTATTGCAACTATAATTAAGAATCTTCACAAGTTCCCCATTATCTAGTTAACACTGTAATGTAGCACTTTGGCTAACAGGTTCGTGCCGCTTCTGCTTCCGCTGACAACTCTGGTTACACTTTTTCTTCCAACCAAAAAAAAGCATTATAAAAAAGAGAAGAAAAAATTACATCATAAAGTTAACAATCGGAACTCACTTAATAAGAGCGGGTGTGGTGGCGGAGGTAATGGGTAAGAGTGGGGAGCTCTTGGGACAAAACACACACAAGACTTTGAGCCAACTAAACCCCTAGCAAAAAAAAAAAATATATAGAAAAAACAACAAAAAACACGACCACAACAACACGCAACATTAACGGGGCCAACGAGCTACAATCGGTCTTTTTCTGGGCCTTCGTTTTTCTACCACTTTTTTGTTTGGCTTTTTGTAAAGTTGCACACCCTTGAAATTAGTAGGTGGCACTAAAGCTTAAGCTAGCTAGGAGCCAAATCATATCATACAAAGCTCTTATCTTATCTATGATAAACATATGCTTGTGGCTCTCTAACAGTATATGTGTGTAGTGATACACAAACACTTGGAAATGCGGAAAATCCAAAGGCAGACGATAAAATTCTTAAGCATTCTTGTAAGAGTCCAACAGAATTCCAATTGGGGTTATAAAAGCGTAGAGCAGAGAAGATGCTAAGATGGCCATAAAGTTACACCAAAACCCAGGAGCAACAACACACACTCATACAGTTCAATCAATCAAATGACTCATGGTTGGTGTACTCAATTTTAAGTGCTTGTCCAAACATTCGCCTTGCATGCAAAGTGGCTTTAAAATCCAAAACAACCTCGAATGCTAAATGAAATCTAATGCATATTGCACTTGGACAGAAAGTGTAAACAATAGTTGCAACTGGGAGATATATAACACAGATTATATATCCGATTTTCTAAGTATCAGATGGAAAATAGCAGGGAAATTCATGTAAGAGAATTGCAAATTGAATGCAGAAGTTTAGATATAATAAAAGTTTGGATTACTCTTAACATTCTCATAAAAACAATTCCTATAACAACAAGACTCTTTTCTTTATAAAACACCTTAGAACTTTTCTACTGAAACTCATATATCATTCATAAAAATCCAGAAGAAATCAACAGCTGAACGAGATCAATGACAAATTTGAATGCGTCAAGCTGCGTTGCACTTCATTGATCAAATCGAAAGCTAAAATTGTTGGCAAAATGCCCAAGGGGCCTTTACTATATACGCTATATATGCGATGTGGATGTGATCAGAGAATCTGACGAACGAAACGGGACGTGACGATGATCATCGTTCGTGGTCGAAACACCTGCGAGAAAACCGAAACGGAAACCCAAAGCCATTATTCCATTATGCCGCCCATGGGGGTGGGCAGGAGGAGGAGGAGGTTGAGGGAAGTACTAAAATTATGGATCAATATATATAAACTTGTCCTTCAGAATTATTTGTTGCCTCAACGTGATTTGTTTATCTTTTTTTTTTCTAGTAGAAAGGAAACGGATGAGATATATAAGTCATATATCTTACGAGAGTTAATCGCTTTGCTTTGATTTGCAGGCTATGGTAATACAATGAGACTACAGTGGATACACAGATTAACTATAAAGAAAAATACCTATATATTGATATATATTTCAGATGCCAAATTAATGTAAACAAACATTTATTAAGAAAGATTTTCATTAAACAGTATTTAAAAATACCAATTCTTTAATTTAATTCTTTTGCAACTAGGAAACATAATTTTTATTACTTCCCCAGTAACATTTTTCCTCTTAGGCAATATTCACTGTAAATTCCTTTGTTTTTGTGGGTGGCAGACGAGACAGAAATAAAACTATTTGTAGCAAAAAAATAAAAATAAAAAACGAAGACGTTGAAGGAGGAGCAAGCGAGAGGGTCAGACTCAAATTGGGGACGACAAGTGCAGCCATAGAAAAAGAGCGACTAAAGATAGCGAAGAGACAGAGAGAGAGCGACCAAACAGAGAGAGAGAGAGAGAGAGAGAGAGAGGAGGAAAGTGGCCAGAGGCGAGAGGGCTACGCCTGCGCTGAATACGCGAGCGAGATATTAAGGGCACCAACAAACAATAATAATAACAACAACAACAAGAAAAGCGAATGGAACAATAACAAGTCAAACAAAAGCAACGGCCAAGAAGAGGAGTGAGAAGAACCGTTGGTCGAGCATTAGAAAGAGATGGTGAGTGTTTCTTTCAGTTTTTTTTCTCCTTATTTTCTGTTGTTGTTGTTTTTGTTTTTCGCTGCGAACGCAATGCAAAGACGCTAAAATGATGACAACGCACCCAACTTCTACACATGGGGTGTATGTGTATGTGAACACACTCGAAGGCACATAATTAGTGCGAAGTAATCTTTGTAAATTGTATTTGTATTCAATAAAAATTTCCTACTGTATTTGGATCATTTGAAGTAAACATTTACCAGTAAAAGTTTTGCTATTTTTTATTGGGAAAACTGATAACTGACTGAAAGTCAACAGGTGTTTGCTACATTTCCCGAAATGTAAAACAATTCCCCCTCAATTTCTGGAAAGTAAACGCGATCAATCCCCACCTCCCCCAACGTATTTGAGACCTATCCTCTTGCCTGCAGCTGTGCGCAAACAAACACTTGTATATATCACATACACCGCTTCTGAATCGAGGAAAATCAACTAGCCAGGCTAGCTTTCGGTGCGTCTGCGAATTTGATTTATAAATAAACCATGGAATCATCGAGCACTATATGCTATATATGTGCCAACATCTATGTATATAGATCACACCAAAAGCTATAGACTATAGGGATTATGAATATTTTTGACCGATTTTACCGAATCCAGATTGAAGAGCGATGAGACTTTCTTTATAAAGCCACCGCCGCCGCTGCCGCCGCCGTCGCGCTTCTTTTTCCTTGTTGTCATCACTGCTGTTGTTTCTTAATTTTTGTTGTTTGTACTATTTATGTATTTTTCACTTATTTCAGATCGCGTAAAGTTGAACAGAAAAAAAAAATAACGAAAAAGAAACACAAACACCGCTCTTACACACTGACAAAAGCCGGCTGATGGCTGCTGGCTGTGTGTGTGTGTGTGTGTGTTTGCGTGTCGCTGCTTCCTCGTCGTAACTATTTCGCTGCTATTTTTAGCTTTTATTTCAGCCCGTTTCGTTGTCACCACCGCCGTCGATGATTATCCAACTTTGCACTAGATAAACAAAAATTCACACATATCGAGACTTTGAGTTGGATTTATACATAAAAAACCGCACACGCCCGAGCGCCAGTTGTTTTCTTTTATATTTCTATTTGGCTTTTTTTTTTTGTTTTTAGCGATCTCTTCACACCGACGGACGCTGAGCAAATGTGTCGCCGAAACAACAAAAAGGCGTAACACACAAAAATGCAGAGTGCGAGCGAGCGGGAGCGAGTGAGCGAGAGCTGGAGAGCGGCGCCGCCAAGTTATTTATTTATTGTTGTTGCCTGGGCCCGACTGGCAAATGGGAAAACAACAAAAACACACCGTACGCTCTCAGCCATGCATGTTCTGGAGCGGCACTTTTTTTGTTGGTTTTTGCTGTTGCATTTACCAGAATTCATGGCACGCACACACACACTCGACTTGTTTTGTTGGCATTTTTCCCGTTTCGATCGATAGACTTAACTATCGGATAACTATCGTTGCTCTGGTTCTTGCCATTTTCATTCACGCTGGCAATGCTCTCTCACACTCTGGGCTTTGGAATCGGATTGGCTCTCTCGCTCGCTCTCTCTCTCCCACACCTTGTTATGCCGCCCGTAATGCAAATAGGAGCAAAACACTTCTTTCAGGCTGCACTGACTCACACCGTTAATCGCAAACCGCAAACGGACTCCGTATTTCACATTTCCAAGTTTGCGGCACAACACAAACACAAAAAAAAAGAATAATTTAAGCCGATGAAACGAAAACACCCAACGAAGAACAAGAGACCGACGACAGTGTGACCGATCAGCGATCGTGGAAGAAAGACAAAGGAAAAAAATACCAAACTAGGTATTTTTTGCAAGCGGTGTGGCCGTTTATATTTTCAGAGAGTTATCGATCGCGCCAAGTTTGATTTTAGAGGACTGTTTAAACTTTATTTAAACTAAAATATACTTAGGATCCCAAAGATCAATTATAAAATGTTGCCAGGGGCTAGAGCAAGCGCGACAGCAATCTTTTTTAGCCGAGATCTCTTTTTTAAGCACACGCAACATAACTTTAATAACTTTTCAAATAAAATCAATACAAACCATAAAGCCATCCAAGCAATAATGAAAAATTACAAACATCTCAAATAAAAAAAGCGCAAAAATGTATATATATATATTTGTTTTGTTTGGGTTTTACATTTTTGGTTTCTTAAATTAAAAATTCATGTTTATTTCGCAAATAAAACATAAGCATAACAAAATCATGCAAGAAAACGTAAATAAATTCAATCAAATGCTGTCTTATCTGGAAAAATATGACATAAACATAACAGAATCATGCGTAAATTAACTTAATAAGCAAAAAAAAACATCTTTGATGGCCAGCGCAATATATAGTTGCTTTAATATAAAGAAAATATGTTACGGCTGTTTGCAATTTTCTTGCTTTTCCACGTTTTGGCTCGTTTCCTTTTCTTTCTATAGTGGTAAAGCAGGGGCCAGGCCAACTACAACGACCGGAAGCGGAAATGGGCGACGCTTGGCCCACAAAAACGAGGAGGCCGAGTCGAGTTAAGCGACTTAAGTAAGTAACGATTCGTTAAAGAGGCGGAAAAACGGGGAGGTTGGTTGTGAAGTATAAAATAGGTGTGCTCCCAATTACACTGGCTTTTATTAACGATTTTAAAAATGGGAGGCGTTTATGCCGACCCAAACTAACTAAATAATTAAGGTTTCGATGGTATTTTAAGTGTGTGCTACACTTTTAAAACTTAAACAATCGACTTATGGCCGATTCTAAGGAATTTCTTAGTTCTCCTAGTTGTTTTCAATAATTTGAATATAGTTTATACACTAATAACGTGTGGAATATATACTTTGGAATCGATTTGCTTAATATACAAGGAGTTACTTCAATTAGTGATTAGTGATAGCTTTCATTTCCTTTGAAACAACCAGCGTTGCCAGACCGGCTTATTAGTGATCCTTAATCGTACGATTCATTCTCGTTTGAAATCACCAAATGCCGTGCAAATGGGAAGTGGCCTTCAAGGTACGAACTAATTAATTCTTTTAGAAAAAGTGGTGGGCACTAATTACAGCCCACTCTGTTTCCACTTTCCGCATTTGGGTTACGCTTTCAGGATTTCCCCTCTCCGGAAAATGGCGAGAATTGGCCTGACTCGAAAGTGGACTTTAGCTTTTTGGCAGGATTATTATGGCTGTTAAGTTGTGGACGTTGGTGCTGGTAATGGTGTTGATTCTGATTTTGATTCTGATGACGATGGAGGCTGACAAGGATGCGATGGCGCTGCGGTATTTGTATTTGTATCTGTTTTGTGTCTGTGTCTGTATCTGTATCTGTGATATCTGGGATGGATTTCAGCTAAGGCCATTGGCACAAATGATTAAATTGCAGCGACTTACAGTCTGCGACCCGCTCCTGGACTTGGATCCTTGCTGCGATGGCTGCTGCTGTTGCGGTTGCTGCTGCTGCTGCGGCGAACGGGAGCTTCGCTGGGGCTGCGTCTCTGCCGGTGGCTCCTTGGCATTTTCCGTATCCGATTCAATACGCATCCGCTGGTTCTGTGAAAATAAATAATTGCAAAATAAATATATAAAGAGAATAACTTTCAAGATAATATAATAAATATAGAAGAAATCCCCAATTATTTGCCTAAAAACAGGGTTGTTTCAAAGGATGTAAGGATACTAAAGCATTTTTTCTGCCTTTGGTCACACTGATATCCTGTTTCCGGCTCACTTACGTTGGCACAGCAGCAGGCATAACGGGATGCCCCCCCTGATTCGCTGTCCCTTTCCTTTTCTTTTCCTTTTGCTGTCGCTCTCTAGATTGATGCGCTTGTTGCTGCTGCTGCTGTTGTTGCTGTTGCGGCGGCGGTCCCGTCAGCTGTCGTCGACGACGACGCATGCGAACCGGCGAACGCGAGCCAACATAATTGGAAAAACGGCGACGCGAATGCCGCACAATTGACACCCAATCAATCATTTCTCACAGTGTATATTGTACTTTTGTACTTGTGTAAATTAAAGCTCTAGTTTTTCGTTCAAATCGGTGGTTGTTGTTCCCTGGCTTTGTTTTTTCACACTCTTTTCAGTTTGTGCCTGACATGTTTGGCTATTTTTTTAAAGGAGTTTAAGTAAGCAACCCAAAATTGTTGGACTTTTTCATTTTATTCAATTGATATACTTTTCAAGTGATTAATTAATTTATGTATATTAGTTATGTAATTTATAAGAGTCTTTAGAAATACGTTTAAATCATTATAGCCCTATTTAGTGTGCCCTAATTTACTATCTTAATAAAAAGTGCCTTATTAAAACTTTAAGGACAATATGGCAACACCAACGCTTTGACAGCTTTCTGTCAAATTTGGTACAGTTTGCCAACTTAATTTGGTTGGTAAAACGCTCCCTTTTTACATATTACCCCGGAATTGATATGATTATGAATAATTAAGTGAAGGCATGAGAAGTATATGTGCTGAAAAGTGACGATGGGGGGCATTGACATGTTTTACGTTTCCTTTGAAGAGTTGCGATAGCAACAAGTTGGGTACACACAGCCCCGGGCTGATGGGAAAGCGGGAAAGTGGAAAAGTGGGAACGAATGGGATTGAAATCAGCAGCCTGTCATCTTTGTGCTGCCTTCTCTCTCGCTCTCGCTATTGCTCTCCCTGTCTTTGTTTGTGTTTCACCGGTTACACACACACAAACACACCTTAGATGAAAATCTGTTTGCCATTTCAATTTTTCTTTGGCGATGTGTACACGCAAGTAATTGCCACCCACCACCCACTCGCAAAATGAGAAAGGAGAAAATATACAAAAAAAAAAGGAACACAGTGGTTTAAAAAAAATATTAAGATTTTTTTTTGCCATCTGGACGAAGCATAAAAATGATTTAATTCTGGTCTTGACTTTGTATAAATTCCAATGAATCATTATTTTGTATTTATTTTAAAGAAGTGTTGTTCATTTATATGATTATTCATATTTTCAGTATTTATATTATTTTATATAATTAAGTTGTAGTTATATTTATATTTTTAATGTATTTGTTTTATTTAAATTTAAATATTTATATTTACGTTTAAGTTTGAGGTTTGAATTTAATTATTTATATTTGATTTAATACATTTCATTATATATTTTAAAAATATATATTTTCCACATTAAAAACAAAGCTTTTTCTGGATAATAAACACCGCACCACCGTTCTTTTAGATATTTTTCACCCAAGAAGTTCGATTTGGCTTCTGATTTTCTTTATAGAGTGTGCCAAGGTCCGAATAACGAATAACGAATACACCGAAACACTGAATTCTATAAACCGAATCGCTTTTTGTTTACAGCCGGATCGGATCGGATCGGATTGGAGGGAACATGTGGTTTAGTTCTGTGTATATTCTGGCCGTTGCTATATGCGAAATTAGCATTGGGAGATGGAATAGAACTGGGCGGAAAATCCAAACGGTATTTGGCATGAAAGAAAAGCCGAGCGAAGAGAAGTATTGCGAGCTGCCAAAATAAATAGATTGATATATTGCTCGACTTGCTTCCACTGTCTGTTGTTGTTGCTCTTTTTCTTGATTTAACGATGTTTTCCAATGCCAGACGCTATATAGCCATGAATGAAAAACTCAATGGACGGACAAGACAGAAGGCAAAACATGGGGCGGAGTATATAAGGGGTTGAGTTAATGAAACAAATAAGAAAATGAAATGAAACAAAACACAAAAATAAATATATATATCAGTTGAGGAAACAGTGAAAACTTTTAAGTGGAATGTAGTTCTATAATTTGTTATATTTTCTTATACTTGATTTGATTTTACTTGAGTTTTGAATAACTTTTGGTATTAATTTTTACTTAAAAATATTATTTTAAACTCATAAATTATTATAAGAACCTAAAGAACGTTATCATAAGAAAGTTAAGATAGTTTTTCAACGGTTTATACGTTTTTTGGTCCATTACTTTGTAATTTTTATTATATATGATAGTTAAATTCTTTTTTCATATATGGTATTTTAATAATAATTATTTATTAATGCGTTAATTTAAGTACTAAACTTATTTTATATCTCACTTTCTCATTTATCACACATTTCCTGCTCAAAGTATTCGAAATTCAAACTATTCATATCGATTTCTCGGGCTTATGAGAAAATATATGTCGTCCAATATTGCCTGAAATTATCACGATTTGCAGCAATTAATTTAAGTAATGACTCAATTAACTGCTGTGCAGGTTTAATCACTTTTAATTTGCGGCACCTGCTGGCTGCGGTGGTGATGGCTTTAATTTCTGAGCGAGCGATTACTGTGCAGCGGATGTGCGGGGCGTATACGTAATATTTGGAAGGCTGCCTGCTCATCATACGCCCCGTATGCCGCCAGCAAGGTAGCTCACCTGCCATCTTGTAAATGCCCTTAACTTTGCCTTGTTTAATCTTGTTTCGGGTGCTTGCTATTTTCTTTGCCTCCTGTGTATATATTTTCTTTGTTGTTCTTGTTTTCATTTGATGTGTACATTCTGTCTTACAATTATGTAAAATGTTTGCTTTTTGGCGCCAAAGGAGATGAGTGATGGACACGCATGTGTCAGGCGGTGGAGAAAAAAACGTTCGAAAAATAAAGGAAAAACAACAACAGAAGGAAAAACAGAGACCGGCCAACGACTGATAACGGGATAAACAGAGCGCGACAGAAGGAGTGGAAAGAGAGAGAGAAAGAGCACGCAATGGTTCATACACAGAGAACAAAAAAATATATTTGGTTTATTTTTAAAAGTCTTTGACGTCAATAAATTCCCTAAAAAAGTCTTTAATTTATGTTGATTAATATTGCAAATGTTGTATTGTTTTCGTTGTTGCAATTGAGGAATTAAGACTTACAATTTGCTACCTAAAAGTAGGCTATGATATTTCACTGTTTCGTAAAATATACAAAAAGAGAAACTATAATTTGTATAAGTTAAATAATTATGGTTTTCTTTCCTCCCTTTATAGGTTCTAATATTTCTCTTATATTCAATTAATTGAAATATTAAAGCTTTAAAATTTTATAATGAATTTACAACATAATGCCTGATACATTTTACAAGAAACCTAAAGCTTTTCCAACTTCTTCCTTTTTTATCATTCATTTAATGTTATACTTGTTATATTTTAATGTTTTTAATTATTTATACTTTTTTTGTAATTGTTAAAGTACTTTTCTTAGTTCTTGGTACTTTTATGATTATTTTTTTTTGTACTTATTTTTGCTTAAAAAATAAGCATGTTTTTGAACACACACAAATAGAAAACTAAAACAAAAAGCCAAACAATTCCGGTTGCTTTTGTTTTGTTGTTGTTGTCGTTGGTGTGTGCGTGCCCGCTTAACGAGGGTTAAACATCGTCTGAAGGGGGGGTTAAAGGTGATTCCCCCCGCCCCTTCACCACACTGAACACACGCCTTCGCAAAAGAATGAGAAATAAAGAACAAAATCAGACAGACACGCGCCGCTATGCTAAAAATTTTGTGCGACTCGACGCGTCGACGGCACGACTGTTACTACCGCCTTTGCCGTTCCGTCGTCGCAGCCGTTTTTGCCATTCATCCGTCCCCTCCCTCTATTCACCCACCCACCACCTAGCCACGTAGCCACCCAAACCACCCACCCACCCATCCATCCACCCAGCCAGCCAGCCGCCCCTTTAGAAACCAGTCCACACTAGACCCGGGTCCGGGTCTGGGGTCCGGGCACAAGTCCGTCCGAAGCAGCCGAAAGCATTTGCTCGCTCGGCTGCCGGCGCTGCTGCTGCTTCGGCTGCCCGGCCAAACAATAGTCCCAAAAAAAAAATAAATAATAAAAAAATACAACACACAAAAAAAAAAGACACTAAACACAATATGTATAGTACCCAGGGTATAGCCAAAGAAATAAGTAATGGGAACCTTGGGCAATCGTTCATTGGTTAGCACTGATAACAAACATTTGTCGGCATTCCGGCAGCATCCTTCAAGCCTCTGGCAGCTTGTGCTGGCGGTACAGTGGGTACTCGGTATGTGAAACTTTGCCTTAGTTATTATTACAAAATAAATATTATTTATAACCCATACATAATAAAATTCTACCTTGCGAAGATATTTATTATTTAGTTGTTTGCCATTAGATATGTTTACAAATATTCCCTACTATAAATTATATTTGTACCCAAAAGCAAATATCCAAAAGGTACTAGAAAAAGATAATATTTATATCTATACTCTGTTATAAAATATATAATTATTTCTTTCTTAGTTAAAGTCCTAGAATTCTAATAAGATTTTTATGATAGTTAGCTTAAGGAAACCAACAATCTTATCATCTAGAAGAGTTTATAAATAAAATATAAATTATTTTCTTTAGGCAACATTTAAAATTAAATTTTGGGTTCAGAGAAAAGTCCTAATTTTAATCAGTGAGGAAAGTATGAGTTACATAACTCACTCACTTTTATTTATTTTTTTAAATCTTTCTTGCTAATACTCCTTTGAAATAAGAAATGGAAGGGAAATGGCTTGAATTTTACATCAGAAAAAAAGGAATACAGCGCAGAATAATAGGGTAATTATGGCAATATTTTTTTAATTGCATACATTATTAAGATATTTAAAAATTCCTATTTTTACGTAGTTTAATTAGTGCATCTTCTTATAAAATTTTATAAATTAATTATGCAAATATGTTTGCATGGTTTAATTTATTAAAATGTAGGAACCCAATGTTTTTTATAGCCATTAACCACTGTTTTTCCCCACCAACAGCACGTTTAACGTTTACCGTTCGTATCGCATTACCGTTGCCGATTTTGTTACGTTCCACGTTTCATCGTTTCGCCTGTTCCGATGAAAGTTTCGACGGTTTCACGATTTTACGATTTCACGATTCACGATTTCACGACCTCACGATTTCAGTACGCATGTCCCAGGACGGACAAGTAGCAGCAACAATTGCAACAACAACAGGAACAACAGGAACAACAATAATGAAATGGGTGCCAAAGAACAACAAACAGAGGAGCAACAGAGACGGCACGATGCGGTGCGAGCAGGCGAGGGCGAAAGGTTGTGAATCTGAGCCTTTATGTCTGCGCTCGTGCCTTTCACCGTGACTACAGGAACACCATCAATCGTGTCGACCTGAAACTAAGCCCATTGAAAAGGACACAAACTCACGACTTAAGGATACCTCTTAAAGTATTTAAAGTACTCTGGAGATTTCAGAAAACCTCTCCATTGCAAAAGAATGAAAGTATACAACACTAGATCATTGTTGTAAAATGTAGAAATAATTGAATTAATAATTTAAAATAGTAAATCTCCCAATGTTGATGTTCTTAATTGTTTAAATGAATAAATCTAAAAAAAAAACTCCCATTTTCACGGTTCTTTCGGATTCTCCAGAGATATAAAATCTTTACTAAGTATACCCAATACTAGGCCTCGAATATTATTTTCTAATAATCAATCTTAAGTACACATTTCCCTGGATTTATACCAATTAAAAATCTGGCTAATGGGTATCATTATTGGCCCCGGTTGACGGCATAGAATGGGGTAACGGTTGTCATAGCCACTTAAGCCGCATCCAGGGACATCTGGGCGTAAGGACATTCAACCAAACCTCTCGCTAGGATCGAGTGGCTGTTCATAGCTCCTCCCCCCAATCCTGGGCACTCCATCTCCGTCCTACGTTTTCCAGCCGTTTCCATTCGCCACGTGTTAAGGACCCAGGACATGTTCAAGAGATTTCAATTAGCTTCGGGCCAACTAATGGCTGTGCTCTCGATTTTTTTCTACAGCCATTACCGAGGGCGGGGACGACATTTATGAGGGGGGAAACGCGATGACGGAGACGGATATTAACCCATTTTTTGCCAAAGTGACATTTTTCAAACCCAACAATTTAGCTTGTCTTTCACATATGTAGTTCAAAGCATTAGAAATAACCTAATTAAGGCATGGAATTTAACAAATTGGTATATTTGGATTTATATATTAGACTAATGTAATCGTTAACCAGAAAAGAAGATACTTTTGGGAATCCGAATTCTGAATACCCTTGCAGTTTGCATTTGGACTTTAAGAAGGAATGTAAATCTATCATTACTAAGCCAAAAATGCATAAATTTAAATTCAGAAAGCTGTTCTGTTATCTGTGTTTAAAGGTTAATAAATCTGCATATTAAATTTTGAACTTTGAAAAATTTTAATTTTTTTCAAATTTTTTTTATAATTTTAACGATGTAACCCCTTAAAAAATGTTGAAAAATTTTTCACATTTTTTTTTCCTTCAAACATGTCTAGATCGATTCGGCTGATCATGCTGATCAAGAATATATATGATTTATAGGGTCGGAAATAAGTCCTTCCCTCCTTTTTAGGCACATTTTCCTGTATTATTATCGATATTTTACAGATGAATACGATATTTTGCGATACTATACATCCAAGATTACGATATTTTCAATTTTAGCTAATACACAATATATAGATGGCACCTTTTCCCTCTATGTACTCTATGCAAGTACATCCTAATATGATGCCAGAATGTATGCTATATTAAATCAATGAAATGAAAGTGCTATGTGTGTGTGTGTGTGTGAATGCAATCTTACCAAGATTTCTTCCAATTCGCTTTTAAATGTTCTGCTGAGCGCCTCGGCATGTGCTTGGGCACTGACATTATTCGCGATCTGATTTTGATTCGGGGCTGATTGGTTGGTTTGATTGGATGAGGCGTCGCTGTTAAACTCATAGGCGCAATTGCGATTTAAATTTGAAGTTTTGATAAACTGTGCGAGTTTCGGATAGTAAGTAGTAGTAGTAGTAAGCATGGAGAGTGGAAGAAGAGAAGAGAACAGAGAACAGTATAGAATGGGGGCAGATTGAGTAAGAGCAAGAGATGTCAACTTGAAACTGGAAATAATATCTCAAACTCAAAGGAAAACTTTCAGAACAATTGGGGAAATATTAAAGATCACACAAAAATAGTACAGATTAAACTGATCTCTAAACAGATTTTGAAATAAAACAACTATTTATATATATCAGAGGAAAAGAGGTAGAAAACAGGGAAGAAGAATATATATTTATAAGGAAACATAGGGAAAAACTCTAGGCTTTCATAAATAATACCTCAATCTGGTAAAGAATATAACTAGAGGAAAGTCTTCTAGTATAAGAAAAACTTAGATCAATAAATAATATATAAAAATCAGACAGGAACAGGCGAAAGTCTATAGAATATAGAAACATAGTAAGGTAGAGATACAAATATATATCTAAGCATAAGCAAAAATAAAGAAATTGAACGGATCTTGAAATGAAACTTGAAAGAGATATATAGTATGAATGATGAACAAAGTGGTAGCAAAATAATACATTTGAGGAAATGTCACGAAATGATTTTTAAACGAAAATCTAAAATCAGTCTAAAACAGGAGGTATTATCTAAATCTATAATATATATACGCCCCTCTCTTGTATAACAACCAACCCAAAACACTTTTTCACTATCTCTATGTACTATTTAGGGAATGATTATAGCTTATGGATCCTACTCACATCGGCTATTTTAACGGATTGTCCATCCTTCTCCCATTTGGTTGCAATTTGCAAGGTCTCCGCTGTCTTTTGCTGTATGCTTTTCGAGTCATCCAATAATGTCAATTCATAGAATTCTTGTATATCTGAAAAGAAGAATAATTTAAGAATTAATATTTAGTATCAATATGCAAACATACATAACATAATTTAATTTCTTATGTCTACAGTCTTAGGGCTTATTTCTAATTTTATTTCTGAACTTTAAGAGGTTTATAAAAGTTTAATAAAGCTTATTCAAATGGATTATTAATATATATATTATCACCAATACTATTGTGTTATCATATTTAATATTTATCATTATATCTTTAACTTTTTATATTAAGAAATGGCTTAATTATTCCAGTTTAACCTCACGGAATGATGCACCATTATGAATGGTTTACTTATACATATTTATATTTAATAGAATTTCCCTTGGTCTTTAAGAAACCATCACTTTTTTTCTAATTGCAAATACAATATATTTTGAAATTTAAATCATTAAGAGAATATTTTAAGTTTGATCTTTTCAATTGAAAGTCTCGAAAATTGGCTTTAAGCTTGTAATTATAATTTGTTGACTGGTCCATTTTAAAATTGTTTTAAGGCGATTTTCGATTCCATTGTAGTAATATTATCTATTGTTTAATATCCAAATTCGGTAAGCTTGGTCCCTTGGTGGTTCTCCTTTGTCTCTTTAAGGTCTGCACTTTGGACCTGTTAAAAAGTAAAGAAATTTAATTAGATTGATTTTATAATTCATTTTTAAATCATTTTCACTTACGTTCAACACTGGCTAATCGTATTTATCCAAGTATTTATCCACTTTCCAAGGAATCACTGATTCACAGCCTCTGTTTACAGTCCGAGGGTCTTGAAATCTGCTCCGTTTTCCCATTTGCCAACTCAGCGAAAAAAAAACCATCTCAAGTGGACACATAACAAATGAATAATTAAGAACATTCGCTCCACAAGCAATTCTTGTGAACACAAACAGTCATGAAGTTGATATTGAATAACGATAACGAGCCAGTGAAGTGCAGTCAAAATAAACAAAAATATCGAAGGCGACTTTTTCCAGATTATACAGTGAAAATAAATTTAATAAAGAAGCTCAAGAGACACTGTCAGAAAATTGTAAGCTTATAGGGACTAGAGATGTATTTAAAGACAAAAGTTCTAATTATGCAATGTAGATTAAAAAAGAAAGGAATCTTACTTCAGAAAACCGAAGTTTATATACTCTTGAAGTTTGCAATTGATTTATGGAATCGAATCAGATTTTGATCATAACTAAACTTGAAATATTCGCATTCTTTGGATCGAGAAATAAAAAGCTCATAACTAAGCCAAAAAAGCATTAATTTCAATTCGGAAAACTTTCTTATGTTAGTTTTTAATAGATTAATAAATCTGCATACTCGATTGAAAACTTTAAGCAAGTAAAATTTTGGACATTATTTTTGTTTAATTTTATCGATGTAACCCCTTATAAAATTTTGTAAAAAATTATACATTTTATTTTTCTACCAAAAATAGCTAGATCGACTCTGCTGTTGATGCTGATCAAAAATATATATGGTTTATAGGGTCGGAAATAATTTTTTCAATGGATTTGAAGCTTCTGACTGAAATTGTAATACCCTAAAAGGGTATAAAATTTTGATATATCCAGTGATATTAAATTATCAATTTATAGCAACGTTAAAATATCGATTAATGTATTCAACTATCCCGCTTACCATTACTATTTATTTCTAAATGGATGTCGAATCCATAGAGATTTCTAATATATTTCACTTAAAATAAACTCTCAACATGCAGCACCCAAAAAGTAGGCAATGTATTCCAGCCTTTACTTATTTAGTTGCTAAATTTTATGTGATAATCTCTCGACTTTTTGTACAACAGGGCGGATGTAACCTCTTAACCCATATCTATTCATATTTTATGTTCAAAATTATTAAATTCATTTCAGTGTCAGGCTGGCAGGAAGCAAGCTGCTTTAGCCAGGCGGGGAATTTAGAAAACTGTCAGAATGCATCTCAAATGCACACATTTCAATGCAAACTGACAGCGGAAGCAACGGGCTGCAAATATGGGACGGCACAAGGGCGGGGGTGGAGGAGGGGTACACACATATGTGTGTGTGTGTGTGTGTGTGTGTGTACTTTAGCCACCGCCAATATGTTTCGCTTCAACAGCAGTCAAGTGGCCCAAATGGGGAACCAAAAGAAACCCCACTGAAACTCGGAACCAAAAATCTGTGTAAAAAAAAGAAGAGAAAATCACGAAAAAAACAAAATTGAAACGAAATCCATGGCGCCCATTTAATTTCCTGTGCACGACAGCAATCCCGTTATGTGCAGTAGGGCGCAAAAGAGCGGGAGAGGGAGATAGGGAGAGAGAGAGAAAGCAGGACAGGAGCATTGAATTCCATGGGATATTGCGATGCCACCCAATATTGCATGGAAAAGTACGCGCAGCCATTGAAAAAGTGTGTGTGTGTGTACATAAAGTACAGGTCCCATTCATTGTGATGTATATTAACTGTTTGTTAAAGTTAATTAACGGTTAATTAACACAAAAAGGCTTGGAATGTTAACCTTAAATGCTTTAAATAAGTTACTTTTGGGTTTTACTTCTAGAGTTAGTTAAATACCTAGTTAGTTACTTTTTAGTTAGTTAATTAGTGGTTGATTTTGAGAAAAACTGACAATTTATCTATTCCAAAAAAGATTTGATGATTTTAAGTTAACTGACAGTTTATCTATTCGATCGAAATTTTAATTGTTTTAAATTTATGACAGTTTGTGCTAGCTTAAAGATGAGGAAAGGGTATAACAGCTTGAGGATTTATGTTAAGGGTGTTTGGTCTTTGCATGAAAAAACGGGTGATTAACAGCACTCTTATACTTTAATTAAATACAGATTTTATAATTTATATAGTCATCGAAATAGAGGAAAGAATATATTTTAAAAGAACCTTAATTTGAATACCAACTCTTTCAATTTAAATAAAATTCAAAAGTAATTACAACAATTACCACAGGTTAAATTAAAGATATCTAAACCTACCGAAACCCACTGAAATCTCCCCCTTAACAAGTGATCACTGTATGTTCCCAATAACCAACATTGGCATTTCAGTGCGTTATGCAATCGATTTGGCCACTTGAACTTAAAATGAGTTATCGAATACTTCGGAATGCTGCCCGACGATGGCTTCTTTAGTTCTTCTGTTGTTTTTCCCGTCCATTATTATTGCTCATTCAATTTGGTTTCGTTTTTTCTTTGTTTGTATTATTGTTGTTTTTGTTTTTATTTCGCCTTTGTTGAGCCAACAATTTTTCGCTTAGCTCAGCTGAATGCCAATGTCGAAGGCAAAAAGAACAGAAAAGAAACGATGCTAAACTTTATTTCTCGCCATCTTGAGTCCGGAGGGAAAATTCCGGGAAATCGATAAGTCCCCGGTAACACAGTATCCACATTTGTACTCACTGTATCTGCATAAGTGTATGCATATATATACCATACGTTTTATGCTCGTGTTCAGGTCGCAGATGATTCCAGTTCTAGGCCAATTAAATTGGGATTAGGGTTTGGGACTGGAACTGGGAGTGGAAGTGGGAGTGGACCACGTGCAGGTCATGCTCCTTGTGACCTCTCCTATATCTCTCTCTTTGGTTTTTCTTTGGGATTAAATAAAAACTTTGGGCCAAAAGTTTGCAGATAAAATTCAGCAAACAAATTGTGAGCTTTCAAATAATAAATTGCCCTAAATTTGAGCACAGTGGTCGTTCGATTTAGTGGCCACAATTTTGTATATGAATATAAACTTTAAAACTAAGGTTAATAATAAGGAGAAAGGAAGCTTAATCTGGGAAGCCAAAACTGGTATATCCTTGCAGTTTATCATTCATAACTATGCCAAAAATGTATCAATTTCATTTCGGAAAGCAGCTCTGTGCTTGTTTTTATAAGGTTAACCAATCTGCATATTTAGTTTACAAATTTAAAAAATTAAATTTTTTGGCATTTTCTTTAACGATGTAACCCCTTAAAAAAATTGAAAAAAATTTTAAAAAATGTTTTCTTTGAAAACATGCCTAGATTGATTCCGCTTTTGATGCTGATCAAGAATATATATAACTTATGGGGTCGGAAATGACTCCTTCTATGGATTTGAAGCTTCTAACTAAAATTGTAATACCCAAAAATGTTGCAAAAATAGATACATTTTATGAATTAATTGCTAATTCCAGAAAAAATATCTTTAATAAAAAATAAGGAATGGTTTTGAAATCCAACTTAAAGCCAAGACTGTAAAAAGATGCTTAAAAATCCGACTTTATGTACTTAATATACATTTGACACCTTTTGGTTTATCAAAAATGTGTACCTAACCTAGGTACATACATTTTAAAATGTTCAATGTACTTAATTTTTTACCAACATTAGGACCTTTATTTCCATTAAAAATTACTCATTATTTTTTCATTTCTCCTGACATTTAAAGAGAGAGAAAGAATCAGTATAAAATGGGGAGCAAGTAAGAGACAGACACATAACCTTTAGTTGAACACTATACCCCAAACACACGCACACACCCAGGTGTTGGGATGCGGCTAATACCTTGTTAATTATTTCTCGGACACATATACACATCATTAGGGTGGACCTTAAATGATGTACAGTTGTGTACAAATAGAAATAAAATAAAGCATCATGTACCTTGTTAAAAAGATTTTTGTCGGGTATTTTAGTTTTGGTTTAAAGCTTAAAATCCTAGTTAATAAGCTCCTCAAGTTAATCTTAGTTTTAGTTAGGATACACAAGTAATGGAATTCTATTCAAGTTACCTAAATGATTTAATGGCTCACACATAATAATAAGCATGAAATTAAGATTTGAACAATGTTGGTTTTCCCCGCTTGTCATATCAATAAGCATTTCTTTACTAATACTAGGCCAATGACTTGCTTTTTTCGAGTCTGATGAGGATGACAGACGCTTTCGTCCACGAGGTGTGGTAGCACAGTTTTGGACTTGGGGTTTGGGGAAAAGGATAGCTTTAGCAATGACTTTGACTTCAACAAAGTACCAGGACTTGATGGGTAGGAGGTATTAGAAGGTTTAGGGATCAGCCTTGCCAGAAAATTTATTCCTTTCTGATCATATTAAAATAGTGTGACCTAATGTTTACATGTCAGGCATCCTATGCTAATATCGTTTTGAATATCTATTTTTTTTTTCAAATTATGTATAATTAATGAAATACTTGGCATTAAAACGGCCTTGAGAAATGTAATGAAAATCGTAAGCACATTAAAAAAAAAACTTTTTTTTAGTTTTCGAATAAAGTTCTTATTTATATAGGTTCTTGATAATTCTCCCCTTTAAAATTGTTCATTACTTGGTTATTTTACAGGGTATCATGTTGAACTTCTCCCGATTTTCAAAAGTAGCATGCTACGAATTAAGGTAATCAGTTCTATAGCGTCTTCTATCAGTTTCTACAAATATTTAATATAAAATAGTATTATTATAAATATATTTTAACAAATAGAAATGTATTTAGTGCAAAATAAAATGTATATGACAATGCTAACAGCTTTGCTAACTTAATTTCACAATTTTTTATCTTTGAATATTTGGAAAATTTACTATATACACAGTTTTGAAAAAAATCTTAATGTATTTTGACCCTAAATCAAGGACTATGAGATGTCGGTCCACCTTAATGTTCAGCTCCTGTTTTCTAACGTGTCACGTGTTTGGCTTGTTTGCATGTTGGGTGTGTGTGTGTGTGTATGTTTGTCAGCCGTTTAACATTTCTGACACGCCAAGCGCAGTCACTGAAACTGTAACGGTAACATGGGGAACAGGCAGTGGAAGCTATGGGGGGGGGGGGAAATGGAGGAGTAGAGAGAACGAGGAACCAAGGAGGAGCAGAGAGAAGAACGAGAAGAAAGAGGAGCATAACGAAACGAAACGGATTATGCAACTTGCCACTGACAGCGGGCACAACACAGTTTGCACCCAGGGGGCCAATACAAGAGGGGGCTAAGGGGGAGGTTATGGGCCCCCCTAACGTCCCATCGAAGGGGGTATAGACGGGCGGAACTTTTGCAAATTATACAACAGGCAAGTCCCACAAAACAGACAACTGCAGACCTAATGGATGGACGGATGGACAGAGACGCAACGACTACAGCTAAAGAGAGACAGAAAGGTAGAGTGAAAGGAGAGAGCAATGACAGCAAATTCAAACAACAGTGCTGCCAAATTTAAAATAACCAAGTGTGGCCAAAGTTCAGGCAAGGCAAAAACACCAAACATGTCAAATGTGCTAAGTTCAATGAACTTTTCTGCTTTGAATTAGAGTTGGAATATTACCAAAATTGTTATATCTAGGTTTATATTAATCGAAACTAAGTAGTTTAAGGGTTTCCATAAATTTAGAACTTTAAAACATATACTAATGGATTTAAAATATGTATAATAATAATTATTAAATATATTTGAGGATTCTGACTCTAACAAACTGAGTGAATCTAAATTTTAATTATCAAATAAAAGTTCTAAAACATAATATATACCAAAATATTACAAATGTAGAGTTCAAAACACTTTAAAAACCTGGCTAAAATAATCTATATACTGTCCAGTCTGTATATGAAGGAAATCCTTACAACACAAATATATATGATACTATCCCAAATTAAATAGCTCTAGCTTTAAAAGATCCCGAGATCCCTTAGTTTTATAGTAACTCTTAGAGATATGCAAATAAGCAAATAAATGCGCTAGCAAACTTGCTTTTTTGTTTCCTTTTATGACCAAAGAAAGGCCAAATAATGCTCATATATATTCGTCATTTTTATGGGCCTTTAAAATAAAGAAACAGCTGACTTGGCCGCATTACTATTGGCCAGACCGCCTGCTGTTAGCCGGTGCTATTGCCTTCTATTGCGGCGCTGCTTGGGTCGTTTTGACCCAAATCCGATGCAATATTATGGTTCTGCCTGTCGCTGTTGTTGGTGTTGCTGCTCGTCAAGTGGAAATAATTTGCAGCAAGAAGAAAACAGACGAAAAAAATCAATAGACGATAGGCAACTTCTGCACAGATAACAACTACTTTTCAAGGATGTTTCCAGCTCATCAAACATTTCCTACTAACATTTCTTGGCATAAAGTTTACGACATAGTTTTAGCTTCAGTAATCATCATCATCATCATTATCATCATCATTATCGCATTAAGCGAAACTGATTTAAATAATTTGCATATGTATTTAAATATTAATTTTGATTGAACAATAATCTTAACAATATATGTGTTAATTACTCAATTAAAACTTGGACTAACTTATAACTAGACTTAATTAATTACTTATTAATTCTATGTTGTGTCGAAAGCAAAAGTCAGTCCAAATATCATATCTAAACAAGAAAGAAAGCCAACTTCGGGAAACCGAATTTTATATATAGCTCCGTCAAAAATGCATTAATTTTAAATCGGAAAGCAGTTCTGTATTAGTTTTTATAAGGGTAATAATTCTGCATACAATTTTAAAAATAAGAAATTTTTGAGAAATTTAGAAAATTTTAACGATGTAACCCCTTATAAAATTTTGAAAAAAATGTTAAAATGTGTTTTAAATGTTTTTTCTGTCTGACATGGCTAAATTGACTTGGCTGTTGATGCTGATCAAGAATATATATGATTTATAGAGTCGGAAATGACTTCTTCACTGTGTTTTATGCTTTTGACTTCAATTATAATACCTTGGAAAGATATAACTAGGGTTCACTTTAATATATTGAAATTTTAAATATAGAAAAGCATCAAATGCTAAGTTAAAATATTAATATTGTTAAAAATATACCAAAAATGATATTTTATTTATTGGTTTCTTATTCCGAATATGTTCTTTCGATATATGAGATAGAGTATAGATTTATCGCAACGTTAAAATGTCGATTTATCGATACCAAAAGATATATCTATATTTTCAATCATTCCTAGTCAGAATACCTAGACTAGACTTTGTTTATTACTACTTAATTAAATTATTATTCTAGTATGAATAGATTTGAATATTAATTTTGTATTTATTATGTTAATTAATAAACTTTTAGTACGATTACTTACCTAACAGCGCTTGAAACAAGCGAGACTTAAATATGCGTATAACGCGTTCGATTGCAATACGCAGCGCCCGATCCTGCGGCTCGGAGAGTCTAGCGTGATAGTCCTCGAGCAGCTCGAGAGCGCGATGAGCTTCTGCAAAATATAAAAAAATACATAATTAATATAAATATTAAATCAAACTACTATAATATACAAAATATAATTGAGTTTGGGTTGATTAAAATAAGTTTAAAAAGAGAAAAGTTAACTTAAGATCTCTAGATATATTATTGTTTCCATATTTTTCCTTCTAATCCTTTTAATGTTATATGGCTTCAATTATTATAATGGTAATTTGTGAATTATTATTATTTATTTAGAAATTCATTTAATAAACAAAAACCGCCTGGGTAGTTGGCATTTAAGAGTTAACTCACAACTGAACTATGCAAAAACCAAGTAAATATTATTAAATACTTCCCATATCTTCTCAAAATTAACCCTATATATGTATTTACCCCATTGCCTACTTTGCAGTTCCTCGATCTGTTGGTCCTCCTCCTGACTTATCTCCACTCCCGCCTCGCCAAAGACCGTTGCCCAGAAGCCTCTTTCGGAGCCACGTTCCGAACCCTGCTCCGAGCCGCTTTCTCCTGCCGATTCCTGGAGGTGTGACCTCTTCTTTGGCTGTGGCTTCGATGGCTTCATCGCTGGATTAACCACCTTCAGTTGCAATTCCGACTGCGACTTCTCCAGACTCTCCCTCTCGAGGGTCTCAATCATGGCCCGGAAACGACTCAATTCCATACGCAATCCCTCAGCACTATGTCGGCTCGTCGAGGATGCAGCGGACAGACCAGAGACTCCAGAAAGCAGGCGACAACGTGCAGCTCCCGAGGATGAAGACGATGGTAGACCTTCCCATTCATCCCGTGAGGCATCGCTCTCGGACTTCTCAAAATAACCCGACTCCACGTCCGGAGTGCGAACCATGGATGTGGATGACAGCATATGGCCATATTCCAGAAGATCCTGAGCGGAATAGAAGCATTCAATGGACTCCCGGACACTGTCACGCAAAGATGAGGGGCACTTCAAAGGTTCCGGTTCCGGTTCCGTTTCCCTTTCGGGTTCAGGTTCAGGATCAGGATTGGGATCCTTTTCCATTTCAATATCAATAACCGTTGCTTCACCAGCAGCTTGAATTCGAATAGTATCATCGATTTCTGGTGGCACATCTATGGCTTCCGCCGATTGAACCAAAACCATTAATGGCGGCAGCGGTGGTGGTGGCACTTTCTCCTCCTCCGTACGAACTTGGGGTTTCTTCTGCGGCAACAGAGACTCCTCTTCGGGCTCCTCCTCATCATCAGCGGGAGAAGAATCCACCTCATCATCATCGTCATCGTCGTCATCATGGAATGTCTTATCGTCGCTGCTCAAGAGACCCTCATTGGGATCACTGCTTTTCCCCCGATCCGAATCCGTATCGGAATCCATTCTTAAGGTAACCAAGACCACCTCGCTTCGGGTCCAAATGCTAAACTGAACTGCTGTCCCCACGACTTTTGAGCTTTATAATGCCCATATATTGAACATAGTTTAGTGGTTCTTTCGTTCATTTCTCTCACCGCCAATAAATCAATAAAGATTGACGCTTTTTAAACATTTTTCTACATTTGTTTAGCCCTAAGTATTTGGTTTTTGTACCCTAACAGAGAGTATTCAACTTGTCTAAACGTTATAGCTATAGTTTAAATAAACAAAATTATAACTTTTGCATTTTTTAACATATTTTTATTAAATTTGATTCAAAGCTATACTTTATTAATATAGAATTCCGTTTTAGTTTTATAAAAATCAAAATACTATATAATATAACTCTAGCGAAACGGTTGTTAAATGTAGAGGATCAGTAAGTATCTTTTAACCAGTAAGTAACTCTGAACATTAAGTATCAATGAACATTAAGTAACTATGAGCAGTAATTAACTATGATCAGTAATTAACTCTAAACAGTAAGTATCTATGAGCAGTAGGTAACTCTGAACAGTAAGTATCTATGACCAGTAAGTACGTATGATCAGCTACTATCTTTGAACACTAATAAACAATGACTTGCAACTTTTGTAACAACACATATCTGGGACTTGGCTGGAAGCAGTCACTTCGTTCCGGGGATGTTAGAACAAGTTGGGAATCATATGCACAGACGTGAGAGATTTGTTTTGGAACTAAGTAACTAAGTAACTCTGAGCAGTAAGTAACTCTGAACAGTAAGTATCTATGAACATTAAGTAACTATGAGCAGTAATTAACTATGATCAGTAATTAACTCTAAACAGTAAGTATCTATGAGCAGTAGGTAACTCTGAACAGTAAGTATCTATGACCAGTAAGTATGTATGATCAGTTACTATCTTTGAACACTAATAAACAATGACTTGCAACTTTTGTAACACAACCCATATTTAGGACTTGGCTGGCAGAAGTCACTTCGTTCCGGGGATGTTAAAACAAGTTGGGAATCATATGCACAGATGTGCGAGATTTGTTTGGGAACAAATTTAAAGCAAACTATTTGAATGGAACTATGGAGTTATTCTTCTACATATATAATTTTACTAGTATATAAGTCGGAGCATGGTGAATCGGTGGACTATATATATATATATAACTCACATAGGAACGATCGGAAAATTAAAGAAATAAAACTATGAGCAGTAAGTAACTCTGAATAGTAAGTATCTATAATCAGTAAGTAGCTATTAGCATTAATTAACTCCGAACAGTGAGTATCTATGACCAGTAAGTAGCTCTGAGCAGTGAGTATCTATGACCAGTAAGTAACTCTGAACAGTAAGTATCTATGACCAGTAAGAATGTATGATCAGTTACTAACTTTGAACACTAATAAACAATGACTTGCAACTTTTGTAACACAACACATATCTGAGACGTGGCTGGAAGCAGTCACTTCGTTCCGGGGATGTTAGAACAAGTTGGGAATCATATGCACAGATGTGCGAGATTTTTTTGGGAACAAAGAGCAAGCTATTTGAATGAAACTATGGACTTATTCTTCTATATAATTTTACTTGTATATAAGTCGAAGCTTGGCGAATCGGTGGACATATAAATTGTTGGGATTGGAACGGTCGGAAATTTTTTTTTTTTTAAACCCATGTTTAAAAAACTAATAAGGCCAAAAATTCCTTAATTTTAATTCGGAAAACTTTCCTATGTTAGTAATTCATGGCATTACGTATCTCAGTTTTTGATGAAAATATTTCATAAAAAAGGCGATTTATTTAAAGTATAGGTATATGTATCTTAAAAATCACCTTCCTCAAAATCTTCTATGTAGAGGGTATATTTTCAGGGGACAACTTATTTTGGTTGTCAATTTTGGACAGTCTTTTCAACAGAGATTTGACCCCTGACCCTGATTGTCATTCGCTCGACGTTTGCCAAAAAATTAAACACATAATTTATTATTATAATCGAGTCGCATTATGGCCCCGCTCACATACTCGTGTTTATATATACATGTGTGTTTTTGGTGTGTTAGTTTGATGTCCCCTGATTTTGACCTTCACTCACCATTTACGAAGCTGCCTCCCAGAATACCTCCCTCCCTCCCTTCCTGCTGCGACTTTTGACGCTTTTATTCCCTTTTTTTTCTCCGATTTTGTCCTCTTGCCCAGTTTTAGTTGCCGAAAAATTTGATTTGTATGACACATAATCGAATGACTTCTTTGTCTGCAGCACTATGGTTCTTATTTCCTTGAAAAAAGGAATGGATTTCCCATTTTACAGCTGTCTATTGGGAAAACTAACTGAAAGTCTAACAATCTTCAGAAATGGTTGGTAAAAACTTAAGTTTTTAAAATATTAAAGCTTATACTACTACACTTTTGACCAAATTGAAGGTAAATTGGTTACATCATATTTCTTCTCGAGCTTATAGGTGTGTTTTGTGATCATCTGGCATTAAAATTTTTTAGCAAATAGGATCTTAAAATTCCCAAAACAGAATTCTAAAAGACTATAGTATACTACAGACCCAATAGGATAAAATTTCAGGCTGTTGATACAACAATTCTTTCATATTTACAAATATGTAAGATATATCTGTATATTAAGATTCCAATGAAACCAAAACTAGGGATATTTATCATGTAAAACAGTCATCTCTAACACATTAATTAATTATTATTAAGAGTTAAGAATTTACATACAAGTTAACTTTTAGTCAAGAAATTTAAGACAGTTTTAATTAAAGCAATTCTGTATTCAATATTTTTGTCCTAGTTTCAGTCACTAGTTTCCCTAAACCACAAGAGCTAGAGTTTCCAAATTAAATAACAATCTCCCGTACAATATAAAAATATCTGGTGAAATATATCTATGTATCTATATAAATCAATATAATGTTGTACCTCTTTTTAACGGAAAAAGCATACCCCCAAGCTGAATTTTAAACCAAAATTGATAAAGAATTCCTTGAAATGTAATAAACAAATCTGCAAATAGAGATATATACACACACATGCATATATGATATATGATATCTATAGGATACAAAACAAAAACACAAAAAGAAAACCCCCATGTGAAGTGAAATTAAAGTGCAATTTTTCGCTTACCTTGCTTTTTCACTGGCATTCTGTGAGCGGTGTTTCTGCTACTACTATTTATGGCGGTGCTGGCGGTGGAAATGGCAGCGGAAATGGCGGTGGTGCTGCAGCTTTGAGAGTGGTTCAATGCCGCCGAACTCGAAAAGGCGTAGGTCGCAATTTTGAGAGTTTATTGGAGTCACTTTTCGAGTTGAAAATTGTATTAATTTGTAGTTTTTTATTTTTTTTTTTTAATATATTATTTATTTTTACTTTTTCTTTTCAAAATATACCTAGGCTTTGGTTTTGCGCAGTTCTGCAGGCACATATACACATGTACGGATGTTTAAATATATTTTACAAATATATATATATATATATATTGTATATATTGCATTTATTTACAAATATAGTTGTTTTTTGGCTTTCAAACGAAGTTGGAGATTTATTTTTTGTTGTGTTTCTTTTTGCGCTTTTAGTTTTTATTTATTATGTATTTTGTATGTTTATTTTGTATTTTCTGTTGGTTTTTTCGGGGCAGTTGTGGTTACATTGACGTGTGCGTTACGATTTCCTTTATAATTTGCAGATTTTTCTTTTCTCTTCTTTTGAATTCTTCACATGGCTCTGGGTCTTCTTCTGCTTTCGGTTCTATAGCACTGCACTTGAAATATTATTTGTATTATCATTGATATTTGTTATGTAGATCGCTCTCCTTTTCCCTTATTTTTATGTCTCTTTAACACACTGGCACAGCACAACAACAATAACAAAACAAACAAAAATATATATTACTCTCTCTTTTTGATTTCCTTTGATTGCATTTGATTAACTCGATTTTTTCCTATTTTCCAGACACCAATCTATAAATCGAAAAAAAAAAAAACGTAATGTGAGCGATTGAAGAAAACATAGCCTCAGTCGTATTTATTGTCAAAAATCAACATTTGTTGTATAATCATAAAAATATATTCAAATATATAGAAAATATATATATATGTATATATATTTAATGCACAAACACACCGGGAGAGAGAGACACGAGAGACACGCGCAGCTTAATACGCTTCCGATTGCATTCGGCCAACGAATATCATACAGTGGACACTGGCTATCATAAACCAGATATTTTACTACAGTAAATCAAAATAAAAACTACATTAAATAATAGTTCATTATTCAGAAGAAACTTTAATTAATACTATAATTTATATGGGCTTTTTCTTTTCAAAAACTTTATTTAAAATTATTTTCAGACATAGGAAATTTATTTAAAATGGATTTAATAATGATGACCTTGCAATGCAAGAAAGGATTTTAAATTTATAAAAAAAACGCTAAAATTATATTTTATTAAATGAGTGTTGAAAGTGTTCTAAAATTTGCCTTTCATTATTCTTTTTAAGTTCCATCAAAAAGTATTTTAAAAATCGTTTAATCTCTGTAATCACCTGTAGACATTAGTTTACATTTTGCACAGTTAATAGTTCTATTTATATTGTATTTTTATATTTAATGTATATTTATTAAATCTTCTTTATTTAATTTATTTTATTTATTTCTTTGAAAAAAATGACTTCAAACACTTTTAAAATATTTGTAAATAATACCTGCAAACATAAGTTTTCAAATGAAAATTGAATCTTCAAGTCTTGAAGATGAAAATGTAGAATCAAATTAAATTCTTAAGAAAATCTTCTAGCTTTTCAATTAAAAATGATTTATATTTCAATTTAAGTTGCCTCATTTCTTTCTCTCAAGTGGCAACCGTACATATATTTTTTTTGTTTTTCTTTAGTTTTCCCTCAGACACCGAGCACTCATATTTTGGGAATAAGAAAAAAAGTAAAAATTGAAATAAAACAAATAGCGGCGATTTCGAAATTCTCGCATCGCCTCGTCGCCCCGAATTGTTGTTTTGTTTCTGTTTCTGTTTTTATTTATTTTATTTTTTCCGTCTCGCGATCGCCATTGTCGAGCTGATTTTATTTACATATTTTTTTGTCGCCTCCCTCCCAGCTCTTTTTTTCTGCTATTTCAGCGAATTGTTGCAGCTTTATTGTTGCTCTAGTTAACTTTTTGCCACCAGCAAAAAAGCGAGGGGAAGTCTCTCACACACACACACACAGACACACAGAAAAAAAACACTAGTGTAAAAAAAAGGGGAAATGTCAAAGTTTGGTTACATTGGGTCGCCGCCAGTTGGAAAAATCCGAAATATATACGAAATTATACGAAATTTAAAATTTCCGCACACCCGCACCGCACACAGACACACGTCCAACTGAGGCAATAACGGTGCTCTGCTTTTGGCCCTCTTATCTCAGTCCGCTTGGCCAACAGCTCTCACCTCTCTCTCTCTCTCTCCCCCGACAGAACCGAGCGATGATTCTCAGTCCGTCGGTTGTGGCCCGTCCAACAATTAATGTTTTGCATATATATGTATGTAGGTAACATATATATATATATATATGTATAGGATACATCGTATGCCGACTTTATAGGATGTATATCTGCTTGGGTTTGCTGATCCCTTTTGGACAGTCCCAAAAGTATAAATAATAGAAAATAATTCTATAGTTTAGTTTAATACAGATTCTGTCATTTTTTCACAAATAAGATTTTAAATCCCTCTTTTTAAAATAATTAAATTAAATTAAATAAAAAAATTTAAAAATATAATGAAATGCAGAACCTTATCAATTAATAATTTAATTATTTTTATAATCTAATATATAGCAATATTTATACAAATATTTAAATATGATTTAAAACATACTGAAAATAAAAAAAAAAAATCGAGAAACCAAAATTTGCTGAGAAAATATATCATAGTTCAGTCAAAAATGGATTAATTTCTTATCAAAAAGCTTTTCTATGTTTGTTTTTATTGTGTTTATTAATCTGTATACTTAATTTAAATTTAAATTAAAGGATTGAATCGCAAATCGAACGTACTTCGCATTCTTTGAATAAAAGTTTATCAATATTTTTATATAGCAGTTTTGTGGACAAATCAAAGTTTAAAAAACTCATAACTACGATAAAAAGGCATTAATTTTAATTCGAGAAGCAGTTTTATCTTAGTTTTTAGTAGGTTAACAAATCTGCTTAACCAATTTAACATTTTAGGACATATAATTTTTTTGGACAATTTTTGTCAATTTTAACGATGTAACCCCTCATAAATTTTTGAAAAAATTGGTAACATTTTTTTTTCTGTCTAAGATGGCCAGATCGATTCTGCTGTTGATGCTGATCAAGAATATATATGATTTATAGGGTCGGAAATGACTCCTTCACTGAATTTCATGCTTCTGACTTAAATTATGATACCCTGCAAGGGTATAAATATATATTAAACAAATGTTTTTGGGTTCTTGTTTATTTTCGCAATTAAAACTCACAAAGCTCAGTTCCCTTATTAATAAAAAGAAAACAATTATGAGCATTTGTTTACATTTCCATCGCCATAAATTCCAAACAAATGCGATGTTATTTAAATTTTAGCCTGTTTGTTTATGCAGACACGAATAAACAACTCGAACAATAGAAAGTTAGTTGGGGTAGTCCCGAAACTAAAGTAAGTGAAATATATTGAAGAAATTATTTTTGTAAATAATTTTTATCCCAAATATATATTAATCATGTAAAACATTAAAAATATCAGAAATAAGCTTTAATAACTCAGTAATATAACTATTTTGTAAATGAAAATCCCTATATTGCATAAGGAACACAACACTTTCATACTATAAATACCTTTCAAGGATTTATTCCATAAAAAATAAGGCTAATTGCTGGATAAATTGATCCATTAGCCTGGATTCTTCAAAATATATCGACAGTTGGGAATTATCCAATAAATTGCTGTCTCTGTGCAACCAAGGGAAATGGTCAAAGAAGGACATTTTTTGACAGACAGGAGAATCCTTGCACACACACACAGACTAACTCTTGTTAATGTTATAAATGGAAAACAATCGAAGAAGAAATATAAAATGCAGAACGCAAAGTCAAACTAGAAAGACAACAACAAATAATGTACAAAATGAAAATAAGAATAATAATAATAATAATAACAGTAACAGGGGCAACGGTAACGATGGCCGTCGGGTTCAATCACCTCAGGGAATTGCGTACCGCTTATTATTATGGTTATTATTGTTATTATCAGCCCCTTTGCCCCATTCCCCTCTAGCATATTACAGTTTGTTGTATGTTTTTTGTCATGAGTCGAGTTGGATTTCTATACGTTCAATTTATGTGCGTCATTTGTTTCCTATTTTTAATGTCTTTCAGCCGCTGAAAGCACTTTTCCCTGGTTTTCTTTTATTTTCTCGGCGGCACACACGTCGTATAATTGATATGCACATACACAGAGAGAGTGAGAGAGAAAGAGAGAGAGAGAGAGAGAGACACTCACACGCACGCACCTGGGCTCACACATCGACACATCTGGGCACAATTGTATTGCCTATTTTTGTGATACTCCTCAAGAGTGTGTGTGAAAGGATAAATAAGTTAATTTTAGTTTAAAAATGTATAAAAAAATATTTTTTTAATTTAAATATTTATAATAAAGTATTAAGAGTATATTTTAGTATATACTGAATTTAATATATATATTGTACAGATCAGTAATTTAAATAATATACTTTATATATAAATATATTTATTTAAAAACGTTTAAAAAGTGTATTTAAGCAAGGTATAAACACATAATAAAGGAATAATTTCTATATGATCTATTAAGAAAAATATCCCGTTTAATATCATATCGAAAATATGGTTTACTTTCATTAAAGGAATTTTTATATTTTAAAAAGTATTGTATTTGATATAAAAATATCAATAATATTGAAAACTGTTCAATAATGTGTTTGAAAATAAATAATAAGAAAATCTCAACATTAAAATATGGTTGTCTACGTTAAAATATCAAAAGATTCTACATTTGCTACCATTTCTATTAATGAAACTAATAGGAGATACTTTATCTGTTATTTAGGTTAATTATTATTTTCCCATAATTATGGGAAATAAATATCCAATTTAAATTTTTACTTTTCATAGAAAAAGGATTAATTGAACGTTTTCAGTTAACGATCACTGTACATGTGCACAGGACTCGCACACACATACGTTTGTGCCTGCTGCAGGCGCGAACGCAGAAAAGTATGCAACGGAAGAGGAGATGAGACAGCAGCATATGCAATAAACACTCAATTCCACACACACCCACACTCGTACACTCGCACGCACACGCACTTGCAGCGAGATATTAACCGTTGCGGATTGACGTTTCGCCTGGCCTGGACTTCTGACCTTGACATGTCGCCTGTGTGCGCTCCCGCTAGCTGTTGTAGTTGTAGTTGTAGCTGTCATTGTACTTGCCAGTTGTAGTTGTCGCTGTCGCTTTAGTTGTACAGTTAGTGGGGATCCGGAGTATCTGTGTGTGTGTGTGTGTGTGTGTGTGTTAAATGAGGGGAAAAGAAACGATTGGAAAGCCAAAAAGGGAGACAGAGAGAGCGGCTAAAGAGAACTGGGGCGCCAGATATGCGGTGATTAATTATTCAGCCGCAACATAATTATTATGTGTGCTTGTTATTTATAGACTAACCGAAAAAATAATAATAACAACAACAATAAGCAGATACTACAATAAAATAATACACACACACACGCACGCATAATGTATGCAAAGAGCAGGAGCGAGAGAGCCTAAGAGAGTGAGCGAGCGAAACACAAGGAGTGAGAGCGAGCAGGCAAGAGCATTTTAAACTTATTAATACGAAAATTTGCACAAACATACACACACACACACACAGGCAGACAGGCAGGGATGCTGCTGCTGCTGCTGCTCCAAACACACTCAAAAATGCACACCATTGCAATTGCATTGCCAATACACGCAAAAAAAAAAACATATATATCAGCTGGAACACACACACGTGCCGTTTTTCCTCTACTTTCTTTATATCATCTGTAACAACAACAACAACAACACTGCCAGGCACAACATCCCTTGCATACACACACGCACAAGGGGGGAAAAAAAGGACCACAAAAAAAAGCAGAGCAGAAAAGAGGTAAATTTTAATTTTTTCTTTATATACCCAAGCCGCAAATCAAGGTAAAGTAACCTCGACGGCTTTTCCCACATCCTTTTTGTGCTGAACTTTACTTGACTCTTTCTGCTTTTCCTTTTCTCCCGTTTTTCGTTCCTTTATTTTGCAGCGACCGGAGACCGTGTATATATTTTCAACGTTTCACACAACACGCACACACACTCGCGACACCAAAAAGGACATGCGTTTGGCACAGCCTTCGGGCATTTTATGTTTAATATAAATAATTAGCGGCCTCGTTTCGCGTGGAGAGCACGTTGGCGATTTACAATATATTACGATTTTCTGGCTCACGAAAAAAATAAGGCAACACTAGTTCTAGTTGGAGCAGTATTACCAGCCTCTTGGCCAATTAGAATCCCACCATCGATTGTTTGCGGCGAACCGGCGGCAGTGCCGATATTTCAAATTGGAGGCGGCAAGCTGTGAAAAGGGAAGCAAAAAATTTAATCAGTATACAACGCAAAACCAAATTATAGTAAGGAACAGTTAAATAAGAGAATATTTTATAACTACTTGTTAGTTTTTATACGCAAGTTATTAAATTTAACTTATATTTTCCAACAAGGTAAACTATCGATAGTCAGCCTCATCGAACCACTAAGGAACTAGAGGAACTAGCTCACTGAAGTACTAGAGATGAGCCACAGATGAACTCTGGTTCCTCTGTTAAGCGATATTTTGAATTTTTATTCAACTGAAAATAAAGAACTGGCCTAAATTAATCAAATTTAAAGGTAAATGGGCGTCGAGAGCAAAGATAACCACATTCATGGATAACACGCAACGAGAATTGAATTTATTTTTGTATTTTCAGAGTGTCGGTGCCATAGAAAAGTTAGAAATATGTTACAGGGACTTGCAGTTCCTCCGGCACTGCCCCTAGCACCCCTCACACTCCCTAAGTTCGGATGTGCCGGCAGCAGGCGGTTGGTGGAAACTGTGCTCCTTTTGTCCGGGAACATGGGAGGGTCGCAAGGAAATTGCACGCTACGACAAAAAAAAAAGTGGGCTTACTTGATAAATTTTGTGTTTACAATTAGAATTAACAGTAGGACTGCTGTAGGAGGAAGCTCCATGGGTTCCTGTCTCTCCCGGATACCCTACTATTCGCCGCCGTGCTTCTGGAGCAGCTGGGCAAAACGCTGGGTGATGAGCAGCGAGGTGTCGATGAAGCGGTCCACGCAGTTGCTCAGGCACGTCTCGGTGGCGCTGTCCAGCTTGTTGCTCGGCTTCCCGATGCACTTCTCCCAGCAGATCTCGTTGAATTCATGAATCTGTGCAAAACGGGGCGATTGTTATTATTATTATTAGTTTGGGTGGCGGATTCCTCGGGAAAGTGGTTCTTACCTGCGCATTGACCTGCGCCTTCTGTTTCTCAATCATTAGGAACTCCTGCAGCTCCTTGTCGCTGCCGGCCATGTTCTCAAATTCAGACATGATGTTTTTATTGAACAATTTTAGCAAATACAAAAGTATCCAATTTTGTAATATTTGTTTGAGGTTATATAAAGATGAACGGGCAGTGGCAGCTGTCGGCGTAAGTGTGACCAGAAATTGCCAGATGAAAAATAACTTTTGGTATAATATACTGAAAATATACTGAATGAGTTATCGTACAGGGGCGTCAAGATAGCGACAAAAGTGGATTATTCAAATATTTGAAATTGTTCGCTTAAAAGGGCGGGTAATTTAAATGCAATAGGTGTAAATGTGTATATTCATTGAGTTTTGTTTAAAATCAAAAGTATTCCAATAGGAATACAACGTCTAAGTGGAACTAATTCAGTACCCTTCATGACTGAGACATACCTGAAAATTGCAATAATAAGTAATTATTTAAAAGCTTAATTAAATTAGTAGCTTTCACTACACTTAGTTTCAGAGGTTCTTATTGATTTAATTGTAAAAACTACACAATAAAAAGAATATATACATATATTAATATTAAAATACATATTTGTGTTTTTAATAAAAACTTGTTATATTTTATTACCTAAGGAGTTTGGGCAAGGTGCAAAAAATAAATGTGATAGGGTTTATGATACCTTCGCTAATTCAATTCGCTATGTTTTCCTTCTGTCAATGAACCATAGGACTGCGTCCATTGTTCATTTCCAGCTCCTCGTGATCAACATTGTCGCGTTCGATCTTGTTTCGCCTGCGGAACTTGACGATGAGCACCTCAATGACCCAGGGAACAGCGCACAGGATCATAAAGGCATTGAGAATGTGAAAGACCAGGATATAGTTCTGGGTCTTGTCACGGATAATACCCACAATTGGGCCAATCAAAAACATGGCATTGCCCTGCGTGAACATAAACAGGCCGTACCCCGTGGCGAATCTGCATAAATATTTAAAAAATTAATATTATGTATTTATTTATGGGTTCATAGAGCTTACCTCTCCTTGGGCAGATAGTCGGCAAAGACCAATGGCAATGGGACATGGAGCCAGGTGCGCAGGAATCCGATTACAGCCGTAATGCAGGCCATTCCCACAAACTCGGTGATGCCATTGAAAACTACAGTAATAAAAATATGTTAATATTAACTAAACCCATCAGGCTTTCCAGCAGAAACCTACCGAATCTGGCAAAGACCGTAAAGACCGCTCCGGCCAGGTAAATGTAGCGGGATGGAACTTGGATGCACACGGCTGTGACGGCCAGGAAAATGCGGGATCCCAAATCAGCGGCTGCTCCAATGGCTATAATGGTGGCTGTGTCCACCTAACGGAGAACCCAACATGTTTGTGCTTGTCAATTTTGTTAATTTGTTTAAATTACCCTTGTTATTTATTATTAATGACATCTTTACCTTTTCCCAATTATTGTTTATAATAAATAATCTTATTTTCTTAAGGTTTTAAGTGAATATTTTAAGTTTAAAATTACTCTTTAGTTGTATTGGCAGTACTTCTGTTGCTTCTAATTCATGTTTGCCACTTGCCCTGCATGAGTTAGAGCGAGACAGCTATAGAGGAGCAGGTCATCATTTAACTTTGCAACAAAACGAAGGAATGTGAGAAATTTATATTTCACAGTTATTCTAATACAAATACATATACACATATATGTAAGTGTGTACACACACAGTTTCCACAGTGAATATGAATACATATGTATTTGTTGAAGTTTTAAAATGTGAATCGTATAGTATTTAAAATAATAAATATAAATATGTACTTGAAATTAGTTCAGTTTACAGAAATGGAGAATAAAATAATAAACCATGGAAGGTACGTTTGGAAAGTCAAAGTTTGTGAAGCTAAAATCGACCATTACTAAGTCAAAAATGCATTAAATTCAATTTGGAAAGCATTTTTGTGTGAGTTTTTATTATGATAACAACTCTGCATGCTAAGTAAAACAGTTTTTGAAAACTAAAATTTTAACAAATTTTTGACCAATTTGATGATGAAACCCCTCATAAAATTTCGAAAAAAAAATTAAACAATTTTTGTTTCTTCCGTATATGGCTAGATCGATTCAGCTGTTGACGCTGATCAAGAATATACATACATATATGATTTGTAGGGTCGAAAATGACTCCTTCACAAAGTTTTAAGGTTCTGGCTAAAATTAGAATACCCTAAAAAGTGATAATTTACTCATTTTTTGGAAAAACGCATAGAAAATGCATTAATTTTACCAGAAATATGATAATTTTGGATGCTATCAATCTATTTTATGGCTATTTTAAATAGTTTTTTTTATGTTTTATGAACAAATTGAACATTTGCTTGAAAAGCGTAAAGAGGTACACACATGCAATCATAAATTTGAGCAATATAAAATTTGCATGTATGAATGTATAGGTATGCCAAAATTCACCAAATTAGAATGTGAAGCAAAAAGGAGAAATATGTCATCTTCCCATAATGCAATGTGCGCTAGAAAAGGATAACTAGATGTCCATCGTTCTCGGCATTCCTTTTTGGCGCTTCATTCTTACGACGTCGACGCGCAAGCGCTTTTGAGAAAATTCGCACTTCGAAAATGGTGCTTGAACTGAACGGTCGGAATTCTTAGAATTTGTGAGTGTGTGAATTTGTGGTACAAAATATTAATAAAAATGACAGCGAAAGCTAATAAGTCTTCATAACTGGCCTTCTTCTTTCAAAGGTAAAGTAAAAGTGTTTATATAATCGTCCAAATATAAAATATATGAGAAATTAATGCTAAGAAGTGAAAAAAATTAGTTTTTGAGAAAATATTTCTGAGCTCTGTTTGCGGCACTTTAAATAATTTTTTAAAACAAAACGAAGTTTAAAAATATTTCTAACTTAACTATTAATCAATGAACCGTGCTGTAATTTCAAAGGTTAACATCATTTCAAACAAAATTAAGCCAAAATCTTAAATAAATTGGTTTTCTAGGTAACGCTCTGTGAGAATTTGCATTTTTTTATAATGCTTATTTAGCCATACAAGTATGAAACATTTCAGAGATTTAAGCCAAAAATAAAAAAATAACGAGTTCATAAAAAACGTGCTTGCCAGAAAGAAACAAGTATATGTTGCCACTGGTCTGCGCTAGAAAGAGATAACTATATGCTGACAACGCTGCGCCGGCGCAAGCTCTGGTGAAATTCTCAGCTAAAAATTGAATGTCAAAATGATTGATTATTTCTTTTAAGAAATGAGATTTTGGTTTAAAATATTGTAAATATTGTTAAAATATAAAATTAATAATTAATAATTTCATTTAAAACAAAACGTGCCTCTATAACCATTTAGTTATTTGTAATTTGTATTCTCTTACCTTATTGTAACCCAACTCAAACAGGTACACCGGTTGCATGGTGAAGAAGGTGATGTCGGAGTACAGGGCAAAGGTGATCCCCAGCACAATGTTCACATAGACGGGTTTCTTGAGCAGTGTCAGATCAAGGAAATCCACGACAGTGCGCACCCAGCCTTTCTTAACGTCTTCAGGAGTCTCCTGGACCACGGCTCCACCTGCTCCAGTACCTGCTGCTCCCGCTGCCAACATGGAGGTGCGACGTGAGGCCTGCCGGCTGTGCGTCATCTGGGGTGAGGCATCACTGACCACCACCGGGCCAGACCAGTTGCCCAGGCTGGTGATGCTCGAGGCCCGGCTGGAGTGCACCCTTAGCATGTGCTCCTCGGCATGAGAGAGGCGTCGAGTGGCGGCGGGATCAGTGGCAGGTGTGGTCAGGAAAGTGGGCTCATCTTTGGTAACCTTCAGCGGCGTCTCCGGCTGCACTCGGACCACCACTGTTGTGGGCTTCACCGCCTGCAGCTCCTGCAGTGGCATTAGCTCCTCCTGCTGCTCCCCCGATGCCGCCTCCTCCGGGGAAATGGGCACCTTTCGCATATGCCATTCAACGGGATGCATTACCAGCATTCCCAACACAGCATGGGCATTGATGCCTGTGAGGATGAGGAGACATCCCCGGAAGCCGTACCAATGCAATAGCTTTTGCATCACAATCGGGTAAAGCATGGATCCCAAGCCAATAAGGGTCTGTGCAAAGCTCATCCACATCACACGATTCTTGACAAAATAATGATTGAATGTCGTATAACAGGTGGGCACCATTAGGCCAAAGGCCAGACCCTGGATGAGGCTGAAGGCCAGCAGTAAATGCATCGTCGAGGTGGCAAACAGTTGCAGTCCAGTGCCCAGGAAGTACAGTGTGCCCCCTACGACACCCACTTGCCGCATTCCAAATCGCTGGAACAGTGAACCGGAGAACAAACCAGCAAAGCTCATTGCCGAGAAGAAGGCACTGGTTATGATGGCCATGGCACTCGTCTCCGCACCGATGCTCTTGAGGAAGTCACCAAAGACGAGGCCAAAGGAGGGCAGAGCCGCCAGAGCGCTGGTCTGAGGAGAGTTGGAAATCGTGTGAGTTTTTGGATTCATTTTAAAAATTAAAAAATATATAGCTAATTAAATATTAAAAAAAACTGTTTCAAAGTTAAAATAGTAGGTAAATCTCTTGAAAAACAAACTAGAAAATTTGTTAATCTCAGGAAATGTGATAAGGAATTAGTATAAAAAAGAATATGCTTTTAAAATCTATTTGAATATAAGAATTGGTTGTAGTTTAGGGCAGTTTTAATTTAAATTGAAAGTTTTACTTTGAAATTAGATCTAACTTTAAGTGCTAAAGTGCTTTTAAATTTATTTAAATATAATAAATATTATAGGTTATTTTCAAGTTAATGTTAATAGAACAAATCTTTAAGAAAATAAATTTAATAGATTTTTTTAGTGGATATATTGTAAACCTTAGAATCTTCAGAGTGAGAATATTAAACATTTAAAGGTTATTTTCAAGTAATAGTTATATTCACTATTATTTCACGACTAAAAAAAATCACTTTTACTATTTCATACACTTTTGGAGTATTATTTATATTTTGATTATTATATTTCAAAGTATTATATCATAAATATGATCCTGAACTTTCAGTTTTTTAACTTTCTGTACCACAAAAACTAGTTTTTGAAACACTAAACGTTGAGTTAACTTTAAATTGATTTAATCCAATATTAAATATATATTGGTTATTAAATGTATATATTTTTTTTTGTCAAAATGCACTTACAAATGGCATGGCCATGCCAATGCATACGAGGATACCCCAACCGCCATCGGGTGCCTCCAGTCTATAGGTCTTCTTGCTGCTGCTCTTCTTCATCTGTTTGAACGGATGCTGCTGCTGCTCCGCGGGCTGCTGGGTGTCAAGTGATTGCCACTGTCTCTGGGAATCATTCTAGGGCACACATCCCATACCCATACCCATACCCATACCCCTGCCAGAGATCCATACCAGGCAAAAGTAGTCGTTGCTAGTATCTATCTCATGTGTGTACTTAGATATCAATCTTCCAGTAGCCGCCTCCTCGATTGCCCGCTTATCGCACCTCGGGGTCTCTTTTATGGCCAAGCTAAGCTTCTTATGGCGAAGGTTTACGAACTGGCTTAGTGGAAACTCGAAAATGTTGATAAGATTAGTTCAAATATGAGTGCAGCTCCCTCTCTCACTCTCAGACTTCGACGGAAGCATTTTGCTACCTTCCAAAAATGTCATTTTGGAATTGTAATATTACAATTGCAAATAACGGAAATAGTTTCGAGCTAGGTTATTTTCTTTATCATCATTGCTGTTTTCATATCGAAACACAAGGTGCACCCTCTGCTGCTGATAAGGAATTCTCTTCCAGAACAGCAAAAGAACATAATTCCTTAGGCAGTCTTCGCTGTAGATTTACAACATCTGTCCTCGTCAACTGGCGTTTTTCTTTTGGACTCTTTTGCGGACTCTTCTTGTGCATAATTTATACAAACTTAAATTTATTCTTCACGCATTACATTTGTTTGCCAAGACACATGTCGAGATCTCTGTGCTCTCAGTTCTATCCTATAAATGACTTCCAAATGAAATGTTTACTCTTTGCCGCGATAATTATGATAATAAATGGTTATAATCGAGAGGGTTTTAACTGGAACTCGGTGATTTTATAGAAAATAGAAGCAGGTGATGATGGTGATGATGATGATGATGAAGATGATGCTGGTTAGCTCCTGAAATGTGAAAGTGATTAAGGAAAGGTTGAAGAGATAAGATTTAGGAATTTGTTGTATTTAAAGTATTTCTTTAATAGTTTTAAATATAAAACAAGATATGATACTAACTTCGGGAATCCGAAGTTTATAAAACCTTGCAGTTTGCAATTGAAATATATGATCGAATCGGAAATAGATAACAACTAAGCTTTAAATATTACCATTTTTTAATCAATATTTATGGATATTTTAATATGGCAATTTATTCAACAAATCAAAGTTTAAAAATTTCATAACTAAGCCAAAAAAGCCTTAAATTCAAATCGGAAAGCTGTGCTATGTTAGTTTTTGTTAAGTTAATAAATCTGCGTACTCAATTAAGTATTTCAAGAAAGTCGAATTTTTCGTTAAATTTTTGGACAATTTTAATGATGTAACCCCTTAAAAAATTTGGAAAAAATTAAAAATTTTATTTTTCCGCCGGACATGTCTAGATCGATTCAGTTTTTGATGCTGATCAAGAATATATATGATTTATAGGGTCGGAAATGACTCCTTCACTGTGTTTTAAGCTTCTGACTACATTTATAATAACCTGCAAAGAGTTTATAATGTAAAGTAATGTAATGAACTAAAAGGTCACATAATTATTTACTAAAAAGAAAATATATAGATTTTGTTAGAGTTGGTGATTCAGATAGATAGGATAAAAGACCTATAAATACTTAATGCTACACCTTTTGATCTCATCACTTTATTCTCTATGTTCAAAATACATAATAGATTCGTACATATATCATCATTTAATAAGGCTACAATATCGGGGCAATACACAATTCCCAAAGTCTGCTCGTATCAAAACCTCTCATCTCATTTCACACAAAAATATTTATATTATATAGATGTGTATATACTTTAAGTACCCAAAATACGTTTCAACTTTAAAAAGTTAAGTATATATAATAGTGTGTATATATATATATCCGAATGTTGTTACCTCAATCATTGTCCAAACACTTTCTCTTTGTCTCTTTGTCTGCTTCTTTAGTTTTTTGAGGCCCAAAAGTGTGCTACCCAAAGTTAGCTTGGTTTTTTAGTTTGCTTTTATTGCTTATCGGTTGGGTTTAGTTGCATTTTAGGCTAAAGTATCTTACAGATTACAGGGCATGCCAGTAGTACTCTTTTTTTGGACACATATGTCTCTATGTATAAGGCCTTTTGTAGTGCTATCCTTCAACGGATCATGACAAGGAACCCTCAAATTGTATATATATCTACATATGTGTATAGATTGTGGCATATATGGTTGGCTAAGGATAAGTCCTAGCTCTGTTTTTTGCAAATTGAGGCTTTCAGGAGCTCATCCCTCTCAATCTCGATCCTTTGAATATATATTTATTCAGTTCAATTAAAGCACTTGGACAGCTCTCTCGCTATACATTGTCTCCTAACAAATATAGTTTTATAAAATTGGTACACAGCTACCACTGGTCCCAGCTACACAAGTAGTATATAGTATATATATATATGGGATCTTGTATAAAGTATATATAATATGATATATAATATGTTTATAGTTTACTTTGTTTTTGTTTTCTTCTCTCTTGTCTGTGTGTGTGTTTGTTTGTTTTGTCGTTGCTTAAACATCGCTCTTAAGGTACATTTTAAAGCCGATCAATCGTAGTATTCCTTCTCTAGTTTGCAGATATCATTCATTAGTTCCATAAGTATAGTCAATAATTGCCTAAATCTAAATTAAAAACTATCTTTGAACTATCACATACAAGTTCACTAATATTAACCAAACATAGAGAACATTATTTCAAGGCAAATTAAAAAAAATAAAAACGTAAAAGGAAAATAGAGAATTTCAATATTATTACAATTAGAGGAATCTGAAAAGAAGATAAATTTGTGAATTTCAACTTAGAATTAATGCATTTTGTGGCTAAATCTCTGTCACATTCATCATTTACCATTTACTTTGTGGTATGTGGAGTATGTTTCTGTCTGATTCCTAAACCTAAGACTAAACATATTGCAAAAAAAAGTGATATATAACATTACAGCACAGACGAAAAAAAATAGAGTAGTGATTTAACTAAAATTGGGGGTTTTAATACATATTTTGGGGGGTGTGTTTAGGGTTTCACAAGCTAGCTATCATCCTGATCGCTGTCCCTTTAAGTATAATTAAAGTTCGTGGCTGGGGGACTGCCTTCCTTAAAGTAGATCTCTCTTTATCTCTATAATAAGTAGTCCTTCTCCTTGTGTCCCGCCCTTACAGCTTCACATCCTGCGTTGTCGCTGTCGTCGTTGTGGCATCCTGTGTGGGCAACTGGGCAGCATCGGCAGTGCGTCGTCTCGAATGAATGTACTCCACCAGGTACTCAATGCCCCAGGCAAGGGCACACAGCAATATGCAAACACTCTGGGTGTGTATACAAATGGGATAGCTATCCGTCACATCACGAATCAGACCTAAAAAATGGTATTTAAATATTATAAAATATCCTTTCTATGTGCTAGCTAGTATGACTTACCAATAAGTGGTCCAAAGGAGATCACAAACAAAGCCTTGCCCACCAAATGCCAGCCAAAGGCCGATGGCAGTTTCTCCAAAGAGCAATACTCGGACACTGTGAGGGTGAAGTTGCTCAAAGCGGAGCCACGGAAGAAGCCGCAGATGGACAACCAAATCATCAACTGAGTCCAGTCCGTTTGCTCAGCCATAACTTAAATTAGAAAAAGGAAAAGTTAATAGAATACACATATAGAGAATTAACTTCAGAGACTCACTTGATCGCGTCAGTGCCACGAAAATGATGGACACCAGAAAGATGGTGCGCTTCTTAATTGTTGTACGATCAAAGATCGGTGGCAGGACAATACGTGCAGCAATATCCGTAATGGCCGTAACTGATAGACAAAAGGCCACATCCGCTTTTTGATAACCGAGATTGGCAAAGAAGAAGGGTGTGACCATCTTAAAATTCATCTCAGCCACATAGAAGATGGAGAGACCAAATAACAGATTAAGGAACATCTTATCCTTGAGCATATCAATGTCCAGGAGGTCGGCAAATCGTCGCCAGAATCCCGGCTTCTTGGCCTTCTTCCTTGCCTCCTCATCAATGACTGCAGCTGCCTCGGCCTGCTTGTCCAGCTCCGTGGGCTTCATCTTGATGAAACTATCCCGATGACCGCCGAGGACAATGCTGCCCGTGGCGGTGCCCACGCGTCGCAGTTCACGATCGTTCTGCTCGAACTCATCGTCGCCGGTATTGAGATGCACCTGAAGGATCGAGCCGGTGAAGTCCATGTAGGAGAGGTTCGAGGTGACCGAGGCCTTGCGGCAGCGCAGCTGCGTGGCATTAATCTCCGCCTGCGATGGATAACCGCCCGATTCTCCGCCGGATCCATGGGCAGCGGACTGTACCCCGGCCAGGGACATGATCCGTGGAAATGTCGGCCTCTTGGGTATACCCAAACGGGAGCCATTCATTGTGTTCATGGCCATTTCAGAATAATTCTTACGCATCTGATGCGGATGATGTTTGTGGAACAACAACGTGTTCATCTCGGGCAGGGCATCCTCTTCGTTGCCATCCTCTTTGATCACCTTGAATTCGGGCGCACCGGTCGCAGTTGCACCACCAGCGCCACCTGCTCCGCCCACCGTCAGCTGAGGCTGCGGGGTGGGCAGGGCCGAGATGCACATCAGTTCCTCGTCGTCAAACTCCTCCTTCATGTGCCACTTCACCGGCTGCAGCAGTACCGATCCAACCGTGGCATTGAGGGCCACACCAGCCAGCAGCAGCACCGCCCCGCGGAAGTCGTAAGCCTCCAGTAGGATCCTCACCAGCTGTGGCATTATTAGCATTCCCATGGCTGTACCGGCCATGGAGAGGCCCACCGCCTGTCCTCTCTTGTGCTTGAAGTAATGATTTAGGGCCACAAAGGCCGCCGAGGTGGATAGACCCACACCGATGCCATTGATCACCGAATAGGTGCTCAGGATGTGAGCCATACTAGTCGCTGGCGATGTCAATGCCAGTCCCAGGCCACAGAGCAGGGAGCCAGCGATGGCCACTTTGCGGTAGGAGAACTCCTTTAGCAGCGGTCCCACAAACAGGCCAGAGAAATTCATACAGACGTCCAGCGCACTGATGATCACCGCTGCGCCCGTCGTTCCCACATTGAGATCCTTGAGTGTGTCACCAAAGAGCAGGCCAAAAGATGGCTCAATGGATCGGGTAGCGAGCTGTAAAGAACAGGAGATTTCGATCAGTTAAATCTTTGAAAATCTAGATAATGCCAGATGACAGACTTTATACTCAACCCTTTTACACATTCGGTTTTGCTCTGAAGAATCAGCTGTCTCAATGGGTTTTCTCTCTTGTAATTCTCTTATAATTCTCCCCTTGTAACTCTCCTCCTTATTGAGAGAGAATACATACAAAACTTTCACAGTCCATTAATGATCCTAAAAGAATTCTCTCCACTTCTCTCTGGTACTCTACTCTCTATTGGAGCAAAACATGTTTTCTCTCTTGTAATTCTCCTAAATTTTTAGGAGGAAAAAACTAATACAAAACTCTCTCATGGTGCTCCTTAAAGAATTCTCTCTTTCTCTACTTCTCTCTCGTACTCTACTTCCTTGTTTTCTACTCTCTTTGGAGCAAAGCATTTGGTTTTAATTATTTAATTCACCTTAGTTTAGATCTCAGTATAAATTATTTTTAAACATATTTACTAAGAAGTTAAAATAATCATAACAAAGCAACATTATAATATGGTTTCTGATATTCTATTTAAGTGATATATCAAAAAGAATGATAACATGATCAAGTAAATGAAATTATTAAACCTAAAACAGGTAAAATAATAAATCATTAAAAAAGGTCCGTTAGAAGAGTGAAATTTAGTGAAGAGGTCAAATAGTTAATAAATTAAAGTATTATCAAATGATTCAGTGACCTTTTCCTTATTTTGGCATGCTGTGTTTATCATATTTTAAAAGATATTACCAGAATGCCAAAGTCGGGAAATGGTCCAAGTACAATCGTATAAGAAGTACTTGATAAAATATATAATAATAATAATAATAATAATAATAATAATAATAGTGATAAATGATTAAAGCAACACAAAAAAACAAGTTAAAATAATACAAAACAATCAAAGCAAAACAATCATTAAAGTGCAAATAATAGTTAATTTATATATAAAATAATTAATAAAAAAAATTAAATCAAGTGATTTAGTGACCTGTTCCTAGTATTTGAGTTTGTGTTTAAAATCAAATTTTAATAGATTTGGACATATTCACAAATTAGGGAATTGATCAAAATACAATCATTAAAAAAGTCCTTAAGAATATATAAAAAAATATTTTAATAAAAAATATGCCCTATGAATCAGTGATCCGCTTTTTGCCTGGGTTTTCTCTTTAAATTGTATTTTAAAAGATTTACAGAGAATGTCTTGGGCAGAGAGAAGCACCACAATATCATTATTCCCTTTTTTAATGTGATTTAATTAAAGAGAATCAAAGAAAGTGATCATTCATCTTATTGGGGCCTTTTGTGTGAATGTTTAATGATATTTTAAAGCATTTACAAAAAAATCCCGAATAAGCATTTGATGTATACTCAATGAGTGAAATTATAAAAAAAGGATAATTAAATAATAAGCAAAGTGTGATTTATCATAAGTGAATTAATCATATGTGACCCCCTCTATTCAATGTTGTCTTCTTTGTAAATTTTATTTTAACAAATTTATAAAGAAATCAATATTACAGATGGGCTTCAATGTTATCACCTTAAAGTGAAATTAAAAAATATAAATGATAACTAAAATATTAAACAAATATGAATCGTTGGTATTAAATAACATCATCAAAACGTGTCAGTGGCCGGAGCCTTGACAAAAGTAAACTTCTTAAATATCTTTAAATATATTTAAGTAGTTACCCAATGTCATTGCTAGAGTCACACAGTCAACAAAGTGGAATGTATTAATTGGAACTAATATTTACAAAATGTATAAACAATAATTAACAAAAATTATAGCATCATAAATCCGGATTACTTTGAAGATATATTTTGCTAACAGGAATAGGAATTATTAAATTAACGTTATAATAATTAAGCAAATAGTAATTAATAATTTTATCAAACTGAATCAGTGACCCGAGCCTTGCATTTCATTTAACTATTAACGTAACTTTACATATATTTTAGTAGCTAACTGAAGTCCTAGCAAGAGTCACACAATCATCGAAGTGCAATAATTAAAACTCAACAATTTAAAAACTAGTGATAATATCTGAAAAATATTATATTTTTTGAATATAATATAATAAAATAGATTTTTAACATTCTTGAAGCAAAATAAATTTTAAAATGAAAAACTCAAAGATGTAAAAAACAGGTAAACTTTAAAATGTGAAAGTTTTAAGCAGCGAGAAAATATTGAAATTAATGATAAAATATAAATTGTATCGAAAATTGTTTCGATCGATTTTATCACTTTCGATACATTTATATTTATTCATTATTTCAGATAATGCCACAAAGAAATAAGTGTTTTAATCAACATGAATCAGTGACCCAAGCCTTAACTATAGTTCTCTTCTAAAATAGCTTTAAATATATTTTTAGAAGTCTACTGTAGTCCGAGCTAGGGTCGCTCAATCATCAAAGTGGAATTAATTAATTTAAACTATTATTTATAAAAATTATAACATTATTAAACATATGATTATTTTTAGGATATATTGGGATTTTTTAATGAGTGTAAAATTGATTAAAGAAATAAGTTTAAGAACAAACAACACAGATGCAAAAAGTGCATCGATAGTAATTAATAATTAAACCAAACTGAATCATTGACCTGAGCCTAGGCGTTCATTTACCTACTCGAATCATTTTAAATAAATTTGGATAGATAATTGAGGTCCAAGCTAGCGTCACACTATCATCAAAATGCAATTGCTACAAATTAAACAATGATTAAATAAAATAATAAAATAATTAAATTTTTGGGTAATATATTTTATGAATATAAAATTGAATAATTAAATAAGTTTTTAAATTAGAAACAGAGATTTAAAAAAGGTAAATTTGGATGTCGATGACCTGGAGAATATCGAATTTAATATTAAATTATCGATTTTTATCGAACAATTGTATTTTCCTTCGATTACCAAACAGAAAATCAATTTGTAGCAGATATATATCAGCATTAAAAGTTAGATTTTCTATAATATATCAACTTATAGAGAAATTCTATGATTAGTACTTAGGATTAGGTCGATGCATTAGTTTATTTATTTCCCTTTTCTTGTGATCTGCCATAACTCACTCAAGCTTCGATTACTGATCGTTCGCTTGGCGCTCCATAAATTATAGTACACTTGTGGTGTGGACATTGTATTACTTTTATTCCAATTGTGTGTTTTTTTTTGTTTTTTATTTTATATGGGCCAATTTGTCCGGGGCTAATCTGCCGTTCAGAGGCCGCGTGATTTATCGGCTATGGATGGAAGAGGTTCTCAAGAGAGAGAGAGAGAGAGAGCGGGCACAATCATTATCAGCGACATAAAAAATAAAAAATTATACATTTAGGAACACTCGGGAAGAGAAATACATATATATTTGTACTCGGGGGAAACAGGGCGTCGTCACCAAATATGGATAACCTTATCGGTTATCGGAGGGAACTAAACGGAACACCCTTCATGATCCATCCATCCATCCATTCCCCCTATCGATGCACTTCAGATGAAAGACCCAGAGCCTTATCGGTTGTGTAATGCCACTGCTGGCCATCATCTCGACTACGTCAGCCTCTTATCATTTAGGGGCTCAAAAAACTGACTGACTAACTAACTGACTGACTAACCGACTAACAGACTTGGCACTCTCCTTCCCTTCCATTCATGATGATCAGTTTGATTGATGGTTATTATTTTTTGTTCCCCTTGTGGAAGCCAACACCTACCTACATTCATAAATATCAGCTGTCATGGCCTGAAATCGAAATCCGATTTGTATTCGTGTAGTGGATAATGGTGATTTCGTATTTGAATTCAAGCGGCTAAAAAGGTCAAACTATATACGCTTTCATGGCGCCCTACGAGCATTGTTAGTGTAGCTTTGCAAAGTGTGACAATTTGTTCTCTTACAGAATACAAAATGTATCATAGAAACGGCAGATAAATATTGTACTCTATTTACTTTAGCAATTATTATTTAGTTTGTAATTTCTAGTTCTTGATAAGGTTTGATATCAGCAGTTTCTTTTAATTTTCAGAAGCATAAATGGTCTAATGTAATTAATAGTTAATTGCAGATAAGAAAATATGTGAACCGCTCTTTGCCTGGGGCGTGTTTTTTAAACGTTATTTTAAAAGTTTTTAAGAACATGCTTTGGACAGAGAGAGGCACCACAAAATTATCATCTTCTTTTTTTTAAGTGATTTAATTAAAGAGAATCAAGGAAACTGATCATCTTATCTTATTGGGGATTTTATGTGAATGCTTAATGTTATTTTAAAACATTTACAAAATATCCCACTTAAGCTATTGATGTACACTCAGTTAGTGAAATAATAAAAACCAAATATAATTAATAAAAAATAAGAAGAAAAATAATAAGCAAAGAGTGATTTATGAAAAGTGAATTAATTCCATTTGACCACCTCTCTTTAATGTTGTGTTTTTTGTAATATATATTTTAATAAATTTATAAGGAGCGCAATATTAGGGACTGGCATCAATTTTATCACCTCAAAGTGAAATTAAAAAACATAAGTGATACAATTAAAACATTAAACAAATATGCATTAAATAATTTCATTAAAATTTATAAGTGAACCGTTCTTGATAAGCGTTTGATATCAGTAGTTACTTTAAGTTTCAGAAGCACAAATTCTCTGATGTAATTAATAGTTGATTGCAGATAAGAAAAAGGGCTCTATAAATCAGCTAAAGATATATATATTATAGGTAAACACTCAGGGGAAAATTAATAGGCAACCATTTAAAGCTTGTTATTATTATTTATATAATGGTTATGTTTGTATAATTTACAGAATCTTTTCTGTGAACTTGATAGACTCATATTTCTCCCTATTTATTTTTCCAGACCTCTATACATTGAGTGTTTCATTGAAATTGCTCAACATTCTCGCTACAAACACGATTGATGATGTGCTTCTTAAAGTGTTTTATTTGTTTGTGATTATTGATTGGG